ACCCACTAACACCAGAGCACCTTTTCTAGAAACTTTCAAGTTTAAGGTTACGCACCGCTGTTTTATAGGTTTAAAGAAAACTTAAAAACAGTAAAACAAAAACCAAAAATCTTTTAAGAAAATGAAGAACATGATTCTATGAAAGTTCTTTGTGAAATCCTAACTTTGCGAACTTGTTTCTAGAGCAACGCCTAAGGTGGTTTTCTTTAACTTTACCAAGTTAAACATAATAAACTTCTTTAAAAAAATATGTTCCTAACTAATAGAAGAATACACATTTGTGTTAGAAGACTTGTGCCTTGGTATAAGTTAAATGTATTATTTAAAAGCACTTTAACCACTTCTACAAAGTTATTAAGTTTAATTACGGACTTACACTTATCCCATGAATGAGAAAAGCCGCTGCAATTAATTATTCATACAGTTGACTTTACAAGTATTTTTCAAGCAATTCAAGTTGCAGTCGCTCGAATTGAAATGCAACCTGTTGCAGACTTTAAGCCCATTTCCATAGACTTGAGCTCGCGTGCTGGCCAACTGCATATGAGGGGGGAATCAGGGCAGGAAGTCGGGGGAATGCTTACAGAGAAATCATGCAAATGTGCCAATAACTGATGCAATTTATTTTAGCAAACGCCGCAGCACGCAATTCGCCGCACGCTCGAGAAATGAAAATTGAATCAAAATAAAATAAGAAAAGCGCGCACGAATGGAATGCAATTGGCAAAAGAACTGGGCTAAATGGTCTTGGCTTGTTCTTGTTGTTGTTGGTTGTTTTTGAGCTGGTTTTATGGCGGCCTGACACCCAAACCGCCTTGAACCCTTCCCAATAAAAATCGCGCAGTAAAAGCTGGGATCGTGGAGAGTCATTAAACAAAAGGCAAACGCCAAGGACCCAGAAGGAAGTTACTTTCAGCCACAGATACGAATTCTGGTTAAATGAATTCGTGACGTTGTCGTGTTTATCAGGCTCCGGCTATTCCGTCTACTTCTGCTGGTTATTACAGCCAAAGCCGTTCTTCTTCATGATACTTTGTTGGTATTGTTTCGTGGATGCCTTTTAGCATTTTGTGTAATTGTTTTGTGGGAAATAGTAAAAGTATACAAGTTTGTATGTGCACAAGTGGACTAGCTACAGCTTGGGAATACACTGGGATAACAAGTGGAAAAGGGGGAGTGTTTCGGATACAAATTGGGGTTACAGAAGGAAACATAAATGAATATAAAGAAATAAGTGGTCTAGGATGAGATAAACCTAGTCAAATAGGTATCCATTTAAACAGGAAACTCGCATGTTCATTTTCGGGTACTCATAAGTTATACTGAAGGTAAAAAACATAAGTATGTATATTATTCTCATTGTTTCTTCAACATAGCTTCTTTAAGAAGGAAGTTTTTAATAGAGGATAAGCCATTGATAGTTCAGATACCTTCAGATTATATTTCCTGAAAATTTAAGCGCACCACATGTCGTCCATTTGAATAAAACTAATAGACAAACGCTAATTACTGCCTTAGGTATTTCTTCCCAAATGTTCCTTAAGGAGCTTTGGTTAATCCTTTACTCTCAAAAACAATTACCTTGCCATTCTCTCAGTGGCTGGCCTTTTGGTACATAATAGTTGGCCGTGTTGGGCTTGGCATGACTCGGCGATGTCTTACTGCTGACATAATTGATATGGGCCAGCACAGCTAGCACAGTTTTCTCCAAGTTTCCATTCTCTGCCGGCCTTAAATTCCTTCGACCTGCAGTTGGCGTGTGCCGAGCTCCGTACACGCAATCCTGCTGGGAAAGGACTCTCCGGGCTCCGTGGGCTCACGCAAGTGGAGCAGGAACGGCTTCTTCTGGCGAAATTTCGCCAACCGTTTGCGGGTTTTTTTTTCGCTGGCGCTCTCCGCAATTCAGTTTAAATTTAACTCGCGGCGGGCCAAGTACACAAAAATCGAGCAACGAGCGGCGACAAGAAAGAATTCCGTTCCGTAGGCCAGAAAACCAGAAAAACCAAAAAAACCGAAAAAAAAAAAACGAAAAAAGTGCTGCACAAATATTGGTTGTTGTCCCGTCATTAAAAGCGCATTTTGTTTTGCCAGCTAATTACGAAAGTGAAGTGTGGACGGGGTGGTGTATAGAAGACCCGAATTCGAACCCCGTCCCCCGGAAAAAGTGGCCCAGTGTCCCTGGGAGTGATGTATTAATTTCAAGTGGCAAAAAGCGGGCACGACATTGCCACAAAGTCAACCTCCGCCGGGACTCCATGTCCGCAGCGGGTCGCCGCGAGGAGGGAGGCGGGTGTTCTATTTGAGCCATCAGGAGCTTCTGGGCTCCAGTCGGCCGACCATCATTACCATGAGTCGTCTGAGGCGTGAAAGCAGCCGACAAAGCGTCATCACCGTCGAGCTGATACAGTTCATAATTCAGTATCGCGCCAAGGAGACGCAGGAGAAGAAGAAAAGGTGCGATCTGCCATTAAAGTGTTATCCCCGAATCAAAGAAAAACAGTGTCGTTATGTTCTGTGTCTCTGAAGCGGAGCATGCCATGCTGAGCGAATGGTATTATATTCTATGTGGAATTACTCTAGAGCAAAGTCTTAGAAACAAAAACCAAAACCAACACAGCCCAAACCCCAAGAGCAGAACAATGCAAAGCTCGGTGAACCAACTTGCTGCAAATATAAACATCCGAACCGCAACACTTGCTAGGAAGTGCACAGAAAATAAATCCACATGACAAACTGTCACCGCAGTTTATAGGGAGTGTTTGTTATGCGAGGACAATGATGGGAGGCAGGAAACCCATTTTCGGGAACTTCAGAGAGAGGGGATGCGAAGGAAAGGGTGTGAAGTGCATGCAAGGGAACCATATTTCTCAAAATCCTTTGATATACATATAAAGTCAGCAAGAACGGAAAAATAAGTGTTAACAAAAAATACAAAAATATAAGCAGATGAAAGCCAGAGGGTTTAGTTGAACAAAATACACGTCAAGTGCATTTTTAGTTTCGTATATTTTATATTAAATATAAACATATATCAAATGTAGGTTTGTGGAAATTAAAAAACTATGTGAAAGTGTATTTTTTATTCCTTTTAAATATAACTTAACTTTTGCATTTAGAAGTTAACTATTTAACAATGTATACCTTCTTACTTTATTTAAGTAAGATTGCATACTTTTTAAAAAGCGTTACTTGCTTAGGACTATCGCTAAGTTCTTTGGTTCAGCATAATAGTCGGGATTTACACACCCCTCTGCTTTCGTTTGTATCATCTCATGTCAACCTACTAATTCAAGATTTACTTGACTATTTTCCCTTTAATCGTGTCTGGGCTATGAAGTTTTGCCTAATTAACCATAATTGAATCTCTCGCTAATTTGCTTAAGTCAAAAGCGCTTCAGACAGCCTCGGTTTCCCATCTTCTTTACCGACTTTAAAGATCTTTCTCTCCATTAAGACTTACAATTTCCAAGGAGCGCTTAAGTGCTTTGATGCTGTGGGTAAGGAGAAAACGGAAAGTAATGAGAGAAAAGTGGTTTACCAGGAAAAATGTCATCTCCGTTTGAAATTTTAACAGGAATTTAATATTCACAATTCAGGTCATCTTATATTATAAGCTTGATTGGGGTACAGGAACGACTTGTGAAACAAATAAACGTCAAGTAAATATATTATGGTTCAATGATTCGCCAATGGACTGCTTTCCATTAAAAAAGCAAGAAACATTTGATTTCAACTAATATGTCGATTCCGTAAGGTTCTCTTGCGAGTGAACAAATTTTAAAATTCAAAAACCATCTGCCTTTCTTTTTTAAGAATATTTAAAGAATCTTTATAAGCTATTTAAATAGGGACTTATTATTTTGAACTTATTCTAACTAAGTGATGGACGCTGAAATTTAATATTTATGTTGTCTTTGAAAAGTTCCGAAGTTATATTATCTTTTTTGCGAAAAATGTGTAAACTATATTGTGGGTTGTGCGATGAAGACACACATAATTCAATGAAATTTGAGATGGTCAAAAACTTGGGGGGACAAAAATTGTTGTCATGGAAGTGCATTGATTGGGCAAAATTGAAAAAAAAAAAGAGGGACACTTTTCCGAATCGCCCAATTATCGGAGATTTTACCGACTGCACGTGGGTAGGTAAATGTGTGTGTGTGTGTGTGTGTGTGTGTGTGTGCGTATGCGGGAGCCAATTAGGAATTCTAGGATTCTTTTGTAAACAAGTTGACGACTTGGGCCAGTGGAACTTGTATTTACCCCCTCGCACGAAGTCTTTGCTGTTGTGGTTGCTGTTCTTGTTTTTGATGTTGCACATAATATTCCCAGATACCTGGCATGCAATTAAGAAAATCCGCTGAGTCGCCACGACCACGACCACGCCCATGAGACGCAGACACACAAGAAACGCCCACAAGCGCCCCACATGCCACTTGCCACACGAAGCATGCTGCACTTTGCCTGCTTTTGTCAGCTTTTTGCATAGTAGAAACTTTGCCACCACCCACACACCAACACACACCTGAACACCCAAACACAAAACCACAAAACCCCAACCGCCCCCAAACTTTTGAGATGTTAACTAGCTAATGCAAATACATGTAGACGTACCTGCTATCTGTATCTATAAGTGTTAACTTAACCGAAAACTACTTATTTTCCTCGCACACTAATTAAACTTTTATACAAAAACTAAACTTTGTTTCTACCCCCAATGAAAACTTTCCTTTTCCGTGCAAAATTTTTAACCGACACTAAAACTTACTTTTCGTTTTACATTTTTATTGTTACGAACTTGGCTTACCTTTGAGTTGAATATTAAAGTATTAGCTTATCGAACTGGAAAGCAGATAACCAATTAAAGATTTCCTTTAGTTTCGTACATTAATTGAGTATTGTTTTGGTAACCGATTAACCCGGAAAAGCCAATTACGAGCAACCTGACTAATGAATGATTTTCCTCCGCTTTCCCCCACCCCGAAAACCAATTGAAACAGGCGCCTGGCGGACGAGGACGATGAGCTCTCGGAGGTGCAACCGGATGCTGTGCCGCCGGAGGTGCGCGAATGGCTGGCCTCGACCTTCACCCGCCAAATGGCCACCAGCCGGCGCAAGAGCGACGAGAAGCCCAAGTTCCGCTCGGTGGCCCACGCCATCCGCGCCGGCATCTTCGTCGACCGCATGTACCGCCGCGTCTCCAGCTCGGCCCTCACGGCCTTCCCACCGGACGTGGTCAGGCTGCTCAAGGTAGGTGGTTCCCAAGTAACGCGGATAGATCTAATAAATGATCTAACAAGGCAGCATGAGCTGCCGATAAAATAAATATATATCTGTTAAGAAAAAGAGTCGGCATAGTAAAGTTTATGCGAGGAACTTTATCTATTCATAAATTAAAACCTAAGTTGCGACTGTCTTGGCGATGTCGACGAGTTCCCAAGAATTTGCAAACTTCTACAAGTAATTAACGATATTTGAAATTTTTAAAAAAGTTACTTAGGAAATCCCTTAAAAAAGGTTTATGCGCACACTTTTTTGACAATTTGATAAAATTATTGCATACTTTATAAACCAAGTAATTTTTAAAAATGCACCAAAGAATAGCAGAGAAATTAAGAAACCAAATTCGAAGTCTAGCAATCATTTTAACTTTTACACATTGTTTTCAATTCAGGGGATGATAGTTATTTTTAAGACTTAAAATATTTTGTCATTTGAAAAATCACAATATATTTTTTAATAAAAAAATCTATTTAATATTTAATTAATAAACAGACTTTTTAGCATAGGTTTAATATATCTTAAGCATAAGATTTTTAAGTACAACGGTTAATTTAATTCCAAATTATGCCAGTCTACTCTGCGTATGAGTATTCACCGCACAAATTTCAATTGAATGTTTAATCGATAATGCGCATACGCCACTAGCTCAAAGAATGGAAATGACTGTACTCTAAATCATTTAAAAGTTAGGCGATTTATTTTGCATTTAAAATTTGTACAATCAATAGTTAATTGAACATTTTTTCAATTTGAAACCCCATCAATAAACGAGATATTTTTTCTGGAAAAGAAATAACATTGAAAGGAAGAATATGTTTTTTTTATGATTGCTATACTACACGGACACTTTTATTAGAATAATATTTAAACACTTTCAAATACATATTTGAATATCTTTGAAATAATAAATTCTAATGTTTGAACATCTTCAAAAGAATAAATTCACAAAAATATTTTTTGTGATACATGTATCTTAGCCTCGGGATATGACACTCCACACCTCATGTTCCACTTCTCTAACTAACCATTCCTAATCTACAGAACCTGGACGACTGGACGTTCGACGTGTTCGCGCTGACGGAGGCGGCCAGCGGGCAGGTGGTGAAGTACGTGGCGTACGAGCTGTTCAACCGCTACGGCTCGATCCACAAGTTCAAGATAGCGCCGGGCATCCTGGAGGCGTTCCTGCACCGCGTGGAGGAGGGTTACTGCCGGTACCGAAACCCGTACCACAACAACCTGCACGCCGTTGACGTGATGCAGACGATCCACTACTGCCTGTGCAACACGGGCCTCATGAACTGGCTGACGGACCTCGAGATCTTCGCCTCGCTGCTGGCGGCCCTGCTGCACGACTACGAGCACACGGGCACCACCAACAACTTCCACGTGATGTCCGGATCGGAGACGGCGCTCCTCTACAACGACCGCGCCGTTCTGGAGAACCACCATGCGAGTGCCAGCTTCCGCTTGCTGCGCGAGGACGAGTACAACATCCTGTCGCACCTGTCGCGCGAGGAGTTCCGCGAGCTGCGCGGCCTCGTCATCGAAATGGTCCTGGGAACGGACATGACCAACCACTTCCAGCAGATGAAGGCCATGCGACAGCTGCTGACGCTCCAGGAGGCGACGATCGACAAGCAGAAGGTGCTCTCGCTGGTCCTCCACTGCTGCGACATCTCGCATCCGGCGAAGCAGTGGGGCGTCCACCACCGCTGGACGATGCTCCTGCTGGAGGAGTTCTTCCGCCAGGGCGACCTCGAGAAGGAGCTGGGCCTGCCGTTCAGCCCGCTCTGCGACCGGAACAACACGCTGGTCGCCGAGTCGCAGATCTGCTTCATCGACTTCATCGTGGAGCCCAGCATGGGCGTCATGTCCGACATGCTCGAGCTCATCCTCGCCCCCATCGCGCCGATGAACAAGGGCAAGCCCTCCACCCTGGTGGAGCACGAGGCCTCCTCCACGATGGTCATCCCGCCCTCGGGCATCACGCCCAGCATGGACAAGCCGCGCGACCGCACCGAGGCCAAGGCCGCCGCCGAGTGCCTCTCCCGCAAGAGCGTCACCACCACCCCCGGGTCAAAGTTCAACATACCCAAGCCCTGGCTCACCTGCCTGGTCGAGAACAAGCGCATCTGGAAGGAGCAGGCCGTCAAAGGTGGGTGCCTTTCTAACTATACGTATCTCTTTATAGCATTGTTTGGAATTGATTTCTGAGCTCTGGAAATACATTTTAAAATCAATTTGTTTCTAAAGAAATCCCAAACATTGTGAGAGTAAGAAATTCTACCTTATTTACCACAGATATTTAAAAATATATTTGTAGTATTTATGCTTAAAAACGCTTTAATAAGTTCCCGCTATGGTTTTAAAATTGTTTTTTACTCGTTCAACAATCTAGAGAAGTTTTTAAAGATAAAACCATTTATTTATCTGACCTGAAGAAAATATTTTAATAGCTTTTAAACTATCTTTTAACTTTGATATAATTTGGTTCTGAGTAATATAATTAGGTTACTTCAAAAAACAATTTCATTTTTTTAATATTATTGACGATTTTTAATTAAAAAAGGGAACCATAATTAGTTATTGTATATCATCATGTATCAAGCTAAAAATTAAAATGTTTGGAATTTGGAAAACTTCTTAAATTATATTTCAAGCCTATTATAGTTTGTACCATATTAAAGTGTAGAGCTTATTTCATGATCATGTTAATTGCTAGCCGCTTTTCGTAGTCACATTAACTTGGCTAATTGAGTTTGACCTGTCCTTCGCTTTGATCTCTCGTCTCGTCTGCCAATGGCCGTTTATTATTCATGCATAAACCTTCTTACGCAGAGCTCATGGAAAGGCGCCGAAAAAGCGGCCATTAGAAGAATCAAGACCCCCTCTATTAATTTAAGGACAAACCCCATTCCATTTAAAACTGAAGAAGGTCTTATGTGGAATACCAAGAAATTGGCTTTTTGGACTTGCTATTTCAGAAGGGGTGTTCTTAATAATGAAAAATAAAAGAAAACTTTTTAAAAAAGCATATTGCGATGAGCTACAACATTTTTGTTATTAATTTTTTTAGAGAAAGTTGTTTTAAGATATGCAACGTTACCTATCTTTATTTTTATAAACTTATTATTCAATATATTTATAAATTTTTCGACTTATCATCAAAAAAGTTAAAGTACAATGGCCGTCAATGTTCTCTCACTATAACAATATAGAATAAAATAGAAGATATTATTTTAAGAAAGCAAATTCATAATTTGCTTACTCAAACCTTGTTTCGTTTGCCACAATGCTCGTGAAAATATAGCGTAAGTGGTGCAAGTTTGTTTATTACGAAAATACAACTATTTGTTTAAAATGTAAACTAATTATTATTAATTATAATTACAGATGCCGAGGCGCGAGCGTTGGCCACCGCAGCGGAGGAAGCTGCAGCCGCGGCGGCAGCGGAGGCGGAAGAGGGGGAGAACAAGCCGAGTGCGGCGGAAACGGAAACGGCAGATGGCGAGGCAACTAAGGCAACGGCTGAGCCGGCAGATGGCGCTGCCGAGTAAATTGGCCACAGCGCCACCTGCCGCCTGCGACAGCAACCTGAGACGGAAACGGAAGAACAGAATTCAAAATACAGAGGGAAACTTGGGAACGAATTCGGATTGTTACACTGAAAAAAACTGAGGGACGGCTCCAAGGATAACGTTTACTAAGCTTAGAAGCAGCCTAGATTATTATTAACAAACCGCTTAAGATGCGCTCTCTATGTGAATTGTGGTAGAGTTAGACTTACGTACATCATCTATATAGGCTTAGTTGCGGATCAGTAATATCGATATATATGTATAAATACTGTATACTTTGTTGTTGCAAGCGGAAAACAAAACAGAAGAAAACTTAAGAAAATACTAGGGCCAAGCACAAAACAAACAGAAAAAACAAAACGATTAGATGTAAATAGCGAAGAGTTCAACTGAAATTTGTTGTGAATTTGTTGGTTCGTTGCGAGCATTTATACGTAGACTTGAGTTGTACTTGTCTTTTATTAGTTTTAGTCAAACGTGGAATTTACTATATGATTTCTATAAGTTCGATGTATTCGATTTCGCTCTAATTAAATACATATATTTTTGTAATCGTTTCCATTTATTATTTTCGACTTTATTTCCGTGTTCTTGCATTTACCAAGCACTCGAATTGCTCAATTTAAGGAGTGGTTTTTGCAAAGGGACGACAGGCTCGTCTCGAGCTGTCTAGATATTAAGTACCTAACTAAAACTAAACCAAAAAATACCTGAGAACTAGCTGTACGACTTGTATATACTCTCCACTAACCCCTAACAGACTTTCCCTCGAAACCAGGACGAAAGCGAAGAATTTCTAGTTCTTTCCGATCTACAAATGCACATAGCTACCTATACGAAGGATAATGAATACGTATTGTTAAGGATAAAATAGTCACGTTTCTACAAACATATTTATTTTTATACGAGAGCGCAGGACGAAAGTTGGAGGACGAGGCGGAGGGCTTGAGTCGCAGGAGGATTTGGTTTCCTTTCGTTTCGGTTTTCTTTTCTTTAACCAACTTGAAATGTTTTCAAACGTTTTTCAAAATGTCTGATAGCGGGACCATTCTTTTAAGATTTACCACTGCTCTTTACCACTGGAAAGGAGCAGGAAAACAACCTAAGAAAAACTAGGGAAAACCAACCGGAAAGGAGGGAAAACAAGCGTCAAAGGGCAGTGGTAAAAGTGCTTAGCAGTAAGGTACCAAATTATCAGCTGAAATTGGGATCATAGCTTTATTAAGGTAGTCAATAAACGTACGAGCAAAGTGGTGCAGATCTGTACAGCGTTGGGAGGCAGAAACCATGTCTACATACTAGTAGCCACAAATTGAAAACAAACACAAACGACAAACAGAAACAGAAGCAGTTAAGAGAAACAGAACAGAACAAACGTACACAGCAGATTAATCTAATAATCTACCAACCAGCAATGGGATATAGTAAATATAGCGCCAGAATATCTATTATGTGGAAGTAAATATTATTGGACAAACGTGTATGTTAATGTATAATGTATAACTGGAACGCTCAAAGCGATGCGCATATATATCGTACATATATAGTGTGTATGTATAGCGACCTTTCTCTAAAATCTGTACAAAGTCATAGCGTTAGTTGCTGCAAGACAGGCTGCAGACCTTCAACCAAAGCAAAGTTGTTATTTATCTCTGTTGAATAGTAAGGAGCCACAGAAATACTAATCGAACGTATAGTATGCATATGGATATATTCGAGGTTTATTCAATGTTATTAGCAAAGGTAGTCTAGTAGTATCATAAACACACACACGTAAGACGGCATACAGTATATGCAAAACAATTCCAGCCAACGTGCTAACTTTGGGATGACAAGTCCCTTAACTCCCCTTAGCTGATGGAAAAATACGGAATACACACATGCATACAGTATATAAGTTGAAAGCAATCATTACATTTAAATAACATAACTACTTAAATATAAAGCCCTAATAAAATATGAAGAATACGTTTTGTGTAAATACAACTTGCACAGGATGCAAAAGATGTAGAATATTAGCGAAAGGCACACCAACTAAATAAATAAATAGCCAACCAACACCACCACCCAATGGAAACCCAACCAAAACCGAAGTCGCATATTACTGAGATCTGTAAATAACTTTGTTTCATCTGTTCATTTCTAGCCCAGTTATTTATATATCTAATAAGCAAACTAATTGTGTACTTTACGAGTTTTCGCAAAACAAACAAGCCTACTAAAGAAACGTTTTTAATTTTCCTACTATGGTAAACTCAACATTTAATATGCATAAACTAACGGCGATGGTAAACAAATGCAGAAATATTTGAGAAAAAGGAATATGGCTGAGATGTATGCTTATTACGAAATACTTTCAAGTAAATTATAATAACACCATATGACTTTTAATATACTAATAAAAATTCTTATTAAACCTAACTGGGGGAGGTTTTTTATGTGGAAAGTTTACTTTTAAGGAACACATTTTTAATTTTCAATATTTGTATTGACGTGTACTTTTGTTTCTTGGCGTAAAGGATAAGGATTCGTTAATTTCAAATTTTTTTAATTTGCTCATCTTTTTTCAACGAAAATACAGCTTGTTCTATCCAATTTGTACCCCATAATGCGGGGTAAGATCAAGCTTTATGCCATAATAATTCAGAAAACGGTTTAAAAGTAAATCAGCCAAGATTTATTTATAAAAGTTAAAGTTATAAATTTTCTAAATATTACATAATTTTCCTGACTTAACTTTATATGCTTAAAAAACCTAATTTGAAACGTTAAAAACTAATGGCCCGTCAAGCGGGAGGATTTTCTTCTGCGGATAATTAATAAATTACTACCACATAGCTTTACTTTAATCAGCAAAGAAAAAAAGTCTCAAAAAAGTTTTAAAAGACGGACAGGGCAAAATGGTTATTTAGAGTTTTTAAAGCTTAACCAATTTATACAGATTTGCCTTGTTCTAAGTTGAGAACAGCAAATGGTTTCCTTTTAAAATGATATAATTAACTTGGTCGTAGTAGTTGCAAAATGTAATTGAAAACCTTTACCGTTCCAGTCCCAATCGTTTCTCTTAGTCGCTAACCGGAACTGAAAAACATAAGTCCACGGTCACCCTGTAAGTGCGTTCTTCTACCATTTGTGTTATCGATACTTAGCCAATGCACCTTCCAATCATCGCACACCTCTAGGGAACATAAAATTTTGTTCCATCTCTAGTTAAAGTCGTACATTTCATTTTCGAGCAGGTAATTAAACTAAAAACGCGAGAAAAACAGTAAAGATGTGTGAAAAGTGTCCGATGAACTGAGCAAACAGTTGGCGGCTATCGACTGATCGGGATAATGATCATTCTACATGATTAAAAGCAAATAACTGGAGTTTTGTGGCCATTCGTGGGTGTTTCTCCGGGCAGAGGCCGAGCACCGCTGCCGGCGTCGACTGCGACGCCAGCTCTCCATTTGTTCATTCATTCATTCCATGATTAATGTGCGGGGAAAAACGCTCGAAAGTTTGACAGTGATACGAATAATCTGAAACTGGGCCATCAGTTCTGGGTGACAATTCGTCCGACTCTCCATCGTACCCTAATTCCCCCCATAAACAGAGTAACAAGCTTCGCTGCCGCCCCGCCCCTCCCAAAAAAAAAGAAGAAAAAAACAGAAAAAGTCAGACTCGTGCTGTCCCCCCACAAAAATAAAAAGAAAATAAAACAAAGACCTCGCCAAATTAGGAAACTTGGAGCCCACTGTCGTGCTTTGGGTTAATTAATTTTTGCACAACAATCTGGCCGGCCTCTAAGCCAAAACGATTCCGCCTATAAACAGAGCAAATAAACGGTAGATAATAAAGATTTCAAGTTGCTCTGGTCGAATTTCGGAATACCCTGAAACAATCCCAATTAACAACTGGAGTGAAAACTATCCCAATTAATAAGTGGAGTGGAATATTTGCAAGCTGTCATGTGACTGATTCCATTATCTTTAGGAACAACAAGGCTGTTGTCTATCATATCTACATCCATCATTCGTCACATATATGTATCGTCTATGAAAGTACACATGTGCAGAAATATAAAGTATATTAACATACTTATATAAAGCAATTTCTTTCCAATCTGAATAATATTTGTATTTTATATTGTATTTCATTTTATACCCATATAGCACTTCTCACTAGCCTATTCTCTCTTTTGATATATTTATTCATTAAATGTAATGCTATTTTATAAACAACCACTTACTTATGTATGTTAAATAACTTGATGATTTCAACAATTTTAAACAAAATGAAATAATCATTATAATATGATTGAGCTGATAGGTTTCTCACTTGATATGGAATGACCCAGTAATAAAGAATTCGAATAATCCCCATGTGTGTCGTGGAGACTTAAATTGCCTTTCAAGCGGCAAGCCTCCTCCCCAGTTTATATTACCCTCCCGCGGGCAACACAATTGGTAATAAATGGGTTATGGGATGAGTACAGATTTTCGCAGATAAGATCGACTGGAGCACGGCGCTAATCGTTATCTTTCCCTTGCAGCAATCGCTCGCCGGCAGCGGTAATTGTGGAGCGATAGAAGAGCCAGCGCCATGCCCATTGACATAGACGCACCACGACCAAGTGCCAAAAGCGAGAACCGAGCGTGAGCGACTGCCAGGAGGATCAGTACGAGGGTCCGAGTCCGGAGTCCATCCGCTAGTCAAGAGAGCGAGTGCCAAGCCCAGTTGCATTTAGTTTGAGTAACAGACCCGAATCCACATCGCGATGGGCAACAAGAACTCGTGCTGCGCGTACTCCAGTCCGCAGTCGGACCGCAAGTCCAAGGACATGCCGCCCGTCTTCGAGGAGCGCCACCAGCTGAGCCATCCGCCGCACACGTCGCAGCACCAGCTGGACGGCAGCCACGGCTCGACGTCGGCGGTGTACCTGCACCACCACCACCACGGCCACCACCAGCAGCAGAGCCAGCAGGGCGGCGGCGGAGGCGACAACTTCGAGAACCAGCAGAACCTGCAGCACATCTCCGAGCGGGAGGCGCTGGAGGGCGAGGAGGACCCCTCGGTGGACCCCACGGCGGCCACCATGTTCCTGGAGCGGTCCAAGGTGGAGAACGGCGGCATGACGCGCAAGCGGTCGCAGCAGCAGATCGCCCAGCAGGCGGGAAGCGGCGGTGGCGGCGGCGGAGGAGGAGGCGGCAGCACTCCGGGCGGAAACAGCTGCGGCGGAGGCGGCGGCATGAAGAAGAGCTCTTCCTGCTCGACGATCTATCTCGACGACAGCACCGTGTCGCAGCCGAATCTGAAGAACACGGTCAAGTGCGTCTCGCTGGCCATTTACTATCACATCAAGAACAGGCAATCGGACCGGAGGCTGGACATCTTCGACGAGAAGCTGCATCCGCTCACCCACGACCAGGTGCCCGACAACTACGACACGCACAACCCGGAGCACCGGCAGATCTACAAGTTCGTGCGCACGCTCTTCAACGCCGCCCAGCTGACCGCCGAGTGCGCGATTATCACGCTAGTCTACCTGGAGCGGCTGCTCACTTACGCCGAGCTCGACGTGGGTCCCTGCAACTGGAAGCGCATGGTGTTGGGTGAGTGTGGTTTTGGTGCCGGATCATTGAGGGGTTGATGCAGGAGTTCAAGATGGAAGAAACTCGCCTTACTTTTACCATTAACCAGAGAATGGTATAAACATATCTTGCAATCAATGGGGGTTTCTCACCTAAACTACTGCAAGATTTAAAAATAGAGTTCAAGATAGAGTGTAGCTTTTAAACATATTGCCAATATTATTAGTTTGACATATAAAGGGTTGCTATAAAAACTTTTACAACTGAATTTGAATTTAGTTTCTTTAAACATTCCTTTCAAAATCGAGATACTACAATTTCAAAAAGTTTTCTTTTTAATTAAACCGATGCATAAACTGTAAAACTTTAAACGACTGATATTAAAATAGATCACAAAAGTATTGTGAGATGTACAGAACAATCCTATTTTATATTTGTGCTGTTTTATCTTCATACTCCATATATTTTGTATGTTACACTTACAGAATTCAAATAACCTTTTTTTTTCACTATCAAAGCAGAACTTATTCAAGTTGCTCTATTTTTCTGTATCTTTAAACAATCTTTGTTTTGATCTATCTAAATTTGTAAGATTATTTGTTACATATTAGATTTTCTGCAATGTTCATTACCCAGCTTGTGTAAAACACAATTTCGTGCTCTCTTGAAAAATGACTTTACTAACCAACGCGGATTTTTCGCAGGTGCCATCCTGCTCGCGTCGAAGGTGTGGGACGACCAGGCCGTTTGGAACGTGGATTACTGCCAGATACTCAAAGACATCACCGTGGAGGACATGAACGAGCTGGAGCGGCAGTTCCTCGAGCTGCTGCAGTTCAACATCAACGTGCCGTCCTCGGTGTACGCCAAATACTACTTCGACCTGAGGACGCTCGCCGAGGCGAACGAGCTCAACTTCCCCACGGAGCCGCTGTCGAAGGAGCGGGCCCAGAAGCTGGAGGCCATGTCGCGGGTGATGCAGGACAAGGTCACCGCCGAGGCGCTCAAGAACGGGATCAAGAAGTGGTCCTCCATGGACAACATTAGTCAGGGCGGGCCGCGGCGCAGCGTGGCCATACTATCGTGATTTATATTAGCTTACTAAGCCGGATCAACCATCAGCAGCAAGGAGTCGAGATGTCTGTACTCTATAGTCCGATCGATCGTTATTCGAGAACCGTAGCTCCCCTCTTCCTCTCCGTCTTTATCCCGTTCAGAAAACAGTTTCCTAGGCCATCCGGTAGGGCAAACTTGCGGGAGGGTTTTTAGCCAGCACCTTGAAAGGGACACTAACGCCCACACCCACACCCAATTGCGTGCAGAATCACACTCTTATATATACACAAAGAAAGAAAGAAAGTTTTAACCACACGTCTCGAATTAAGGACCACTTTTTACATATACATGCGAACGATGTATATTCTTGTAAGCGAAACTACCGATGCAGTCAAGGATTTGGATGATTTTAACAGAGATACAGAAGTACTACAGCAACGCGTAACCAATTGCCAAAAGATAAATCACAGAAACAGTAGAGAATTGTTTGTAAAAAGGCTTAAATATTGTAATTGACTCGGCCGCCCTGCTGGCTGGCATCTAATCAATTTAATCTCAACGCTCGGCCCCGGCTGAGAAGTCGTCATTTACTTAGCGTCCGCGCCCAGAACATTTCCCTGTACATTTGTTACGAATTTAATTTGTTTACGTTGCCCCATTTTCTTAATATTCTAATATGATTTCGTGTGATTCTTTAAGTTTCCATTTAGCTTTATACGATGAGCGATATATTCGGCTATTCGGCTTCCCCGCATCAGGCTTAAGGCACAAAAAATAAGGGGGCGCGGCCCGCGGCAATTTGTTTTTTGGTTCTTAGCATTAGAAAACAAACAAATGATGAGCAAGATATGAAGAGCACAGCGCAATATTAACCCAAAAGATTTGTGAGTAAATTAATGTACTAGACATATAAGGATACGAATTATATGCAAAATGTATTTTATTTTGTAATTTATTTTACGATAAAGCTAAATAAAAGCAAATCAAAGAGATTAAGCTGTTTTGCTTGAAGGTCGAGTGTCAACTTTATAAAGGTAGGTTGTGTAGTCAAAGAAAAACATTTTCAAATTGTCTTCAGATTTTGTAACAGGGTACAACAGTATTTAATTAGGTATTTATCTTAAGTCAATAACTAAGATAGGGAAAACGTGTTTATTTAAACTCTGGTCATTCTGATTATATTATATATATATTACTGAAAATGAGTCACGTTTATTGTTCTGCGTCAAGAGTTTTTAAGAAACTTTCAGTTACGAAAGTTAAGAACCAAGAAGAGTATGGTCTTTCTGAGTACAGTAGAATCCTGTTATAATGACTCCGCTTATAATGTCCGTCCGGGTATTGCGACGAAAACTCGATGTCTTGATTGGTCCCTAGACAGACTTATACACTTAAATCCTTCTGCTTAGTGCGTCTTCCTGGTATAACGACGAAAAATCGTCGGTCCCTTGAAAGTCGCTATAAGCGGATTCTACTGTATTTCTAAGTTGTTTCTGGTATGTACTCATTTGTTTAAATTCTTTTGATATCTTTCAAATGAAAGAGTACATGTTTTCTTTGTGTGTATAATAGTGCAAACCCACGCATTCCTTAACGTAAAAGTTACATAATTTTTAAAATCCACATTAATCTCCCACCAATGTAAAAACTATGTATTTAGTAGTGCATCTCTTAAAATATTAATTTTAAAAACTTCCATCACAATCATACCAACCTACGGCTTATTTAACCTTGTTTGTCGTTCTCCATTTACTTTTTAAGCCACTTAAAGACGTCCTTCGGCACCAGTATGTACATATATTTATCGACATATCTGGATCAGGTTGAACTTGACAACAGTTCCATTGCGTTTGAGCTCCCAGAAAAGACATTTAAAAAGACTTCATTTCTAATGGGTTCTTCCTCGCGAAGCAAAAATTTGTTACCCTCTCCTGCCCCAACTTCTCCACACACTGTTTTTGAAGGCTGGTCGTTGAATTCTACCTAATTCGAAACTAATTTGTATCAGCAGTTTGTATTAGCAATTAGAGTTCATGGAGATCTAACTTTCTCACAAGGATTCCTAAGTCGGTAAAGTTTATTCATAGAGAACTCTTGAATGCACTGAAAGCATCTGAGAAAATTACGTCTCCTTAAAGGTTTAAAAAAATATATGATCCACCTTTAAGCGTGCTTTAAACAAACACCCTTTGCTTTCTGTAAAGTTTTTTCATTTGTCTGTTGTTATTTTCGCGGGTATTTAAACATGCTTAATTTGTGCTTTTAAAAGATAGCTTTTTGTTTTGATATCCAAGTGTTTGCACACCCGCTAACAACACTTCAAAGCAAATAAAACCAGAAGTGTTCCATTGTTGGGTTTAGGAAAACACAAAGAAACTTTCCGCAGCCATCTCCAATTTTGAACTGCCACACAAAAGACAGGCTTCTTCTTTTGGCCCTGTATACAGATCCAGTAATAGCAGACTGTTTGTTCTTCTAATACAAACTAGGCATCATCGACATGTGGCAATCATGTAGAGCAAACACAGATTCAGACAGAAGACCAAAACACTGCCGATCTCACCTATAAATATGCGAATCAGAACTGGATCATCAACAGTTCTTCGGTTCAGTGAGTGATCAACAGAGCTAAGGATGCGATTCCAACCCCTCTTCGCCTTTGTCCTTCTGGCCATTTTGGCCACCGCCTACGCCCCTGATCCGTCGTCAAGTCCTGCGTCGTCCTCCACGCCGTCCAGTTCGTCTGACCCTTCGTCGTCCTCCACTCCGTCGTCGTCTTCAACTCCTTCCTCGTCCTCAACTCCGTCTTCTTCGTCAACGCCGTCGTCGTCCTCAACTCCGTCGTCTTCTTCGACCCCTTCCTCTTCCTCGACCCCTTCGTCTTCTTCAACGCCTTCGTCTTCTGCAACCCCGTCTTCCTCTCCTGCCAGCTCCACGCCAACTTCCCCCAGTCCTGCCTCTTCTACTCCCGCTTCTTCCACCCCGGACAACTCCTCCACCAACTCGGATACCTCCTCGACTACGTCGGACTCCAACCAAGCCCAGGAAATTGCCAGGCTGCAAGACAGAGTTAACGAACTGCAGCAGAATGAGAGGCGATTGGCAAGGAACGAAAGGCAGTTGCGGAGGCAAGTGCGAAGAGGACGGCGACAGGCAAACCGGCGACGGGGAAACCGGCGACAGGGAAACCGGCGGAACGGACGCCGTCGTAATGGAAGGAGGAACCGTCGCAGCTAGAAACTTCAAAATACTAAAAACTGAATCTGACAATTCAAATAAAATGGTTTTATAAAAATGCATACAATTTTGACGTTTATTAAGGGTCGATAAAAGAACTAGAGGGTAAAACTTAAGTCTATAAATCGAATTTATCATAACACGCCCTTACTATAAAAATAATTTCCTATAGTTGGTTCGATACTGATAATTATCAGGAAAGGAAGCTAGATTCGGCGAAACGAAGCGTACCTATATACGCTTGCAGTTGGAATTCAAGTGTTTAAAACAAATCCCCTTTTTTCCTTGATAACATAGTTCTATCCTTCTATTTGGAAATTCTCAGGTTTTGACTCAGATTGTAATGACGCAGATTGACTCAGATTGTAAGAATTTATATATGTATGTATGTACTTAATAGAATGATATTATATTATAATACCTTCTGCAAGTGAATACGATGTTATAATAGGGCTAAAAATAACTAAAATGATAATTAAATTCCTTAGATATATTTAAGAAAAAACCAAAGAGAACACTTAATTGGAGACTCTCGACACACTCTACGGACTTTACGAACTTTACGGACTTTAGGGACCTTACGGACGTTGAGAACCTTACGGACTTCACTAACCTTATGATACTTTCTTTACGTACTTTTTGGAACTTACGAACGCTTTGGGCTTTACATGGACAGATTGACGAATAAAGGGATGGACTGATGAATGGATGAAAGGATGTCGATGCTATTCGCGGACGACTCCTGCGGCGGTGCCCCTACTTCGCGTCCGCTTCCCTACCGAGTCTCACACCCGGAGTTGGGTCTCTCTCGTGTAAGTCGACGCCCGGTTGCCTACGCACAACTTCCACGCCAAGACACCTCCAAATGTACCTTTAGATCTCAACGTTGCAGCCTCAGTTTAAGTTGACTTGTCCGTCGTTTGGCGTCTTGACCCTGCGATATTGATTCTGTTGGCAATGGTTTAACTTGGCTACCACTCTCGATGTGTCTTTAACTTGCTCGACCTGGTACCGTTATCCTCTTCAGGCGGATCGCGTCGGGTTACCGTTAATTCATGGTATTTTCTCAAATATTCACCGTCCGACCCGATGCCTTTGCCAGCCAGAGCCCAAGGTACAGAGCGGTACCGTTAGTTCCCGCTCTGCGGTAGACCAATGTCCAATATTTACCGTTTGACCCGGATGACTTTGGCCTCTTGGATTTTAAAAGAGAAACTTTGAACAAATTAGCTGCACTCACAGATAGTTTTGTAAATTGTTCCGGGGTAATATGAACTCAGCCTCGTTTTACCTAACTCCTCCGATTTTAGTTTGATTGCCATCCTAGGTAATTTATGTTCTCCGCCGTCCTGGAGTTTAGGTCTTTATAATGTTCCTATTGTATTTAATGTTATAACACCTCAGACCCCATTAAGTATATATGTATATTCTTTATCAACGTCACCATAGGAGTCGATCCAGACATGATAGAAAAAGGATCAAACTATCAAGGAAAAAAGTGTAGTCGTTTTACACACATGAATTCCAACTGCAATCTAGCGTCCCTTCCTGATTTAACATATTATAAGTATCGAACCAACTATAGGAAATCATTTTTATAGTAAGGGCGTGTTATGATAAATTCGATTTATAGACTTAACTTTTACCCTCTAGTTCTTTTATCAACCCTTAATAAACGCCAAAATTGTATTTATTTTTATAAAACTATTTTATTTAAATTGTCAGATTCAGTTTTTAAGCACATGTTTTTTGAAGGTTCATTTTGAAGTTTCTAGTTGCGTCGGTTCCTCCTTCCATTACGACGGCGTCCGTTCCGCCGGTTTCCCTGTCGCCGGTTTCCCCGTCGCCGGTTTGCCTGTCGCCGTCCTCTTCGCACTTGCCTCCGCAACTGCCTTTCGTTCCTTGCCAATCGCCTCTCATTCTGCTGCAGTTCGTTAACTCTGTCTTGCAGCCTGGCAATTTCCTGGGCTTGGTTGGAGTCCGACGTAGTCGAGGAGGTATCCGAGTTGGTGGAGGAGTTGTCCGGGGTGGAAGAAGCGGGAGTAGAAGAGGCAGGACTGGGGGAAGTTGGCGTGGAGCTGGCAGGAGAGGAAGACGGGGTTGCAGAAGACGAAGGCGTTGAAGAAGACGAAGGGGTCGAGGAAGACGAAGGTGTCGAAGAAGACGACGGAGTTGAGGACGACGACGGCGTTGACGAAGAAGACGGAGTTGAGGACGAGGAGGGAGTTGAAGACGACGACGGAGTGGAGGACGACGAAGGGTCAGACGAACTGGACGGCGTGGAGGACGACGCAGGACTTGACGACGGATCAGGGGCGTAGGCGGTGGCCAAAATGGCCAGAAGGACAAAGGCGAAGAGGGGTTGGAATCGCATCCTTAGCTCTGTTGATCACTCACTGAACCGAAGAACTGTTGATGATCCAGTTCTGATTCGCATATTTATAGGTGAGATCGGCAGTGTTTTGGTCTTCTGTCTGAATCTGTGTTTGCTCTACATGATTGCCACATGTCGATGATGCCTAGTTTGTATTAGAAGAACAAACAGTCTGCTATTACTGGATCTGTATACAGGGCCAAAAGAAGAAGCCTGTCTTTTGTGTGGCAGTTCAAAATCGGAGATGGCTGCGGAAAGTTTCTTTGTGATTCTTCTTAATCCAACAATGGAACACTTCTGGTTTTATTTGCTTTGAAGTGTTGTTAGCGGGTGTGCAAACACTTGGATATCAAAACATAAAGCTATCTTTTAAAAGCACAAATTAAGCATGTTTAAATACCCGCGAAAATAACAACAGAAAAATGAAAAAACTTAACAGAAGGCAAAGGGAGTTTGTTTAAAGCACGCTTAAAGGTGGACTACTTACTTTTTTAATAGGTAGGGACATTTTATCACTGGTTGACCCGGAACTCGAGGTATGTGAATCTACAAGGACGAAACTCGACAGCCAGGTTATGTTGTTCGTCTATGTGGCTTTTCGCACTTTACTTTCAGTGCATTCAAAGTAAAACCATTTAACCGATATAGAATTACATATTTGGTTAAAGCGATAATTCCATGAACCCTATGAAGTAGAATTCAACGACCAGCCTTGCAACGCAGTTAATGAGATTCTTCCACCCCATAAGGTATATCTGTACATATGTATTTTCTTGATCAGCATCACCATCTGAATCGAACTAAACGTGATCGTCTATCCGTCTGTCTTTTTCTATATAAAGTCATTTCTCACTTTTAAAACTTTATCAGGCATGATTTTTTTTCGGATGGTTTTTTCTTATGACGCTTGAACTTCAAATTAAATTTCATAAAAATTATCACTTTATCATAAAACTGTCATTGGAACAATCGGATAAATAATATAAATTATGAATTAGAAAATGAGAAAAAAATCGGCATAGCTTTGTTGTTTTTCAGTCTTTATGCATTTTGCCAAATAATAGTTATAAAAAGGTAAATATCTGACTACTATATTATATAGCTAATATTTGATTATTATTGATTATTGATAACAGATCGAAATGTCTGCTGATCATCGTCATTAATATATATAATTTATGGGGTCGAAAGGTAAGATATTTTTGAACAAATTCAGTATACCACTTTAATCTAGGAGTAACGGTTATAATAGTAAATTTATTAAGATAAAATCTTCAAAATTTAAAACTCCCGCTCCTTAGGATTCGATCGTTAATGGAGTCTGTCCCGGCTTACGGTGGTGGGTTGCTTAGTCTTCGTTAGGTGAGGATGGCAAATCTGATGGCTTAGGAGGGTGCATTCGCTGAGTTATGATGATATCGATATATCGAACAATTTTAACATTGTTGTTGCAGTTTTAGCTATCGCCTAAGGTGCATCCCTATGTGCGGTATTTTTGGTATGCCAGGTATTTTTGAAAGTGTATTTCAGTAATCCACCCGAGCCGGTCACACTGCTTCTCGCTCTTCCGCCCGCAGCTAAATCCAATCTCTGGATTCGCGTTAAATGTTAACAAAATAAAGACCCCGATCTAATTAATGAGCCAAGTAATTGTGTACAGTGCGCGCAATGCAGTTAGTGACCGGTTGGAAGTGATAACCCATTTCGGGGAATATAACCAAAAGCCCAATTTAAAGAATTGTGAACGGCGTCGCCTTTCGACGAGGGACGCTGCTGCAACCAGAAAAAGGAGTGGTAGCTGCCCGTCTCTCTTGTGGATTAAAACAACTAAACCAGCCGGTGAGTGCAATTGGAATTAGCAAGCCCTGCATTCAAATTGGCCAGTTGGACCCGGTCGGATTTATGTGCTTAGCCATTTTGCCGCCTTTTTATGCCCAAGCCCCGAAAAAGCAGAGCCAATTTAAAGGGAGAGTGGCGGGGGCAGCGAGTTGTTAATAAGAACAACGCAATCACACGCACACACAGGCAGCACGCATTGTATCTGTATCTTGCGGTGTCTCTAGTACTCGCGCTCTCTCTCGCTGCCTCCACACCTCTTACCAGAGCTGTCCACTTAGATGCTTAATAGCTGTATTTTGCTGCAGTAAATTCAGGTGCTTTAAATCTAGGATGCACTTGACCGATATGTTTATAGTGCTGTTTTCGCTTCCCTGATTAAATGCAAGTGCCCATCGAAATGAAATTTTGAAAAAGGTATTTAATGTTACCTTTGCTTTTGTTTTTAGGCGTTAGCATGGCCCATTTGATTATTTGGTTTGAATGGAGTGGTTAGACAGAGTTGGAAAAGTTGTACCTCTTTCAAAAAACAACTTATCTTTTCACCGATTGATATAACAAAATATTTTGTTCTTAAGGTAAAAGGAATAATCTTCCAAAGGCTCTATTAAAAGATAAATAACGGCTTCTTGAAATAGAATTAATCACCCCCGTGTACTGTTACTTTAAGGCAGTAAAATAAAAGAATTGCTATTGGAAATAAAACAAACCATTTTTGACAAATCTGTACTAGCAGGCAAAAGCTGAAAGAGCTATCGCCCAATCCTCTCGCCAAACCGACAGCACTGGCTCTTCCTCTCCCGGCGGACTTTTGTGCTTTCGGCTACCGCCCGAGCGCCCCGAACGAAGAACTTTACATCGCTTGTCGGCTGCCAAATCGTTTGGGTTCAGGTCTTGGGTTTATAAAGAACAGCCGGACCCGACGAGACTACTTATTCTACCCTGCTGCTTCCTCCGCGTCTCGTTCAGTTTTTAAGTTTGCTTTTTCACTCGCACTCATTGTACTTGGTTGCAAGGGACGTTCGGGTCCCTTAACGTTCGGTCTGCTCTCTCTGGATTTGCTGGAGAATTTACCCATTTGGGAAAACGTTGTCCAATTTAAAGTTTCTCTTAACCAGGTTGAAAAAATCGCCTCAGTGGTCGAAAATTACTACTAAATCGTTGGTTCAGGTTCAGTCCGTTAACGTTCGTGTGATGCGTTCGGGACTGACAAATCCGACGAGACTACCCAACACTAAACCTTTACTCGGCGCATGTGTTTGTTTTCAGTTTGCTTTACTGCCGTTGCTCAGTTTTGCACCCGACGAGACTACTTATACTTATTCTACCATGCTGCTGCCTCCGCGTCTCGTTCACTTTTTCAGTTTGCTTTACTCAGTTCGCCGTTCACCACCGCCTCTCACCCGCGCGGCGTTTCGATTCTGATTGCCACTACTGTTGCACGCACACATACACAAGCGGCCGAGAGTGTGAGTGTCGAGTGCCCGCCACCATTGCGATACCAAGTAAATTTTCATATACTGGCGTCATAAGAACCATACTTTGTAAAGCTTGTAAAAACTGCAGCGTGTGGGGGAGTGGTGGAAAGGGGGGTGGCAGGGGAGAGCCAAACTGATTGGAAACAATTGTGTTTATTTGTGAAATTCGCAGCCAAATAGAATGCGAGAAATATTAATCAAATGACTTTGCGGTCGACTTTGCTGCCAGTGTATTGGTGTGTGAGAGTGTATGTGAGTGTGCTGCGCACATCCACAGCTACAGAGTTCCCATTAACGTCATCATCGTGTCATTCTTGCAAGGAGAGAGGCGGGGAAACGCAGGGTTGCATTTTTCAGAAATTTATTAACAATATACCAAATTGAGCGATCGGCTGTCGTGCTCTTGGAATCGCCACTTTTTCGCCGCCATATGTTAGAACGGAACGGCCGGTTCCTGCGGCTTTTCCTATTGCCTACTAGAGTATGTGCGTGTGTATTTTGTTTAACAATTATGAAATGCACACTAATTGGCTGTAATGAAAATGTGACTCTCCAACTTGATCCTCCGTCCCCTTCTCTCACCCATTTCCCATTTGCCGCTCTCTCGCTCAAAATTTGAGCGACAGCCAAACAAAATTAAAAATAAAAAACGGCGGCAGCGGCAATAATTATAACTATAACTCGAGTTCGGATCTCGGCATATAGAATGTGAGCCAAAAGGCAAAACTTGTATCGACGCGCCGCCTGTACTCGTTCGCTCTTTCCCTCGCTCTTCTGCTGCTCTCAGCTTTCATTTTTTGTCTCGCCTCGCTTTATTTTGTACTTACGCTTTGCGATTCAATTCGTTTTTATTGGTTTTCCGCTTTAGGCGGCTGGGAATTGTACGTAGCGTCGTTCGTGCAAAACGTTGTTGTTGTTGGATTGAGAGGGGGCTGCGGGTGGTGGCGTTGTCGTTCAATGAATAATGAGAGACAATGTAAGGCAAAGAGAGCAAAAAAGGGGAGAGCGAGAGAGCGTGAGCGAGAACAACAAAACGAAAAAAAGCAAAGCCGTGTACAAAAGTGCACGAAAAGCAATGGGCAAGGGAATGAAGAGAGGAGGCGGGTAGCAAGAAAGATACAACTTTTTCCCTGCTGGCAGCCAAAAGCAAAGTGGGAAGAAGGAGAGAAAGAGGAGAGCGGCCCCCCGTCTAGAATCTAGAATAAAAGCAGGGAAGACTGGCTGAGATGCACGCACATAGAGCTCTTCTAGATATAGATACAATTAATTTGATTTGTTAGCACTTCGAATGGGGAATAGTTGGGAATGTAAAATTTGCAATGCCCCCGCCCCTCTTCCAATTCGAATTCCCATTCCAATTGGAGTTAGAATATTTTTGCTCTTCTTTTCACGCAGACGCAGCTTTTTGGTTGAGATGTGTGTCTGTGACTTTTGCATATATTGGCTGCAAATAAGTTTTCGCTTGATTTGCTTTCGCCCCCTGTCCGTTCTTCCCACATTCGTGCTTGCATGAGTGTGCGTGGAACTCAAACTGAAAACTGGCAGTAAAGGGAAAAGGGGAAGACTGTACCGCGGGCCGTTTGAATATTTCGCGTAAACATAAACACCGCAAACAAACTGTTGCTCACTGGTTATTATTGTTGCCATGTCTCCTTTCTCGTTCCTTATTGCAGGTGGCCTGGCCCCAAAGGAACGTCCATATCCATCTAAATATACTTTAAGTCCGCTCCTGGCGAGCCCCCAAGTAAAATCGGCTGAACCAGGCCAAAAAGAGAACCACATGAGGTAAGTGATTTCAATTGCTTTCACATAAAAATACAGGGTGACTACATCTCACCACCCAAAAGGGGTTATTCAACCCCATTATGGAATATTTTATTACGCCATATGGCTTATTGTAATGTAAAAACTTCGCTTTCTTAATTTATAATCCTTTCTGTAACTAAGTGCTTTAATTGTTTTCAAAAGTACAGAGGGTAAATATGAAAATCTTATAATGCCTGTCATTCCTTGAAAAAATAAGTAGAAGAATATACATATGTATATACAAAAATCAGGCTTTGTTAAGCATCGAAATAAAGCCTGGTTTTTTTAGAGTCTTTCTCTCTACATGCCGTGTTTTTTTTAGAATTTTAATAGGATTTGACCAAATTTTACAGAATCATAAGATCGAGTTGAAACTGCATACTGACGCTAAGGGTCTTAGAATATTTAGTTTCTTGCTCAAAATTAAATTCCCTGCAGTTTGCATCACTAACCCTTCCTTTATAATTTGTATGTATATATATGTATGTATGTATTACTTTAATGCCCTTTAAGAGATGGATGGTCTTTTCAAATAAAAATTTATGTTTGTTTTTGTGTAAAATCCAATGCACTTCTTTCGGATCAGATACCTAATCTAGGTATTTTTACTGGTCCTGATTGGGTTAGAAAAAATTTCATACAATTTTCTCTTCTTTCTTAACTAAGAACAATTACATTGAACAATTGAAAATAGTATCTAAGAATGCCATTATTATACATAGTTGAACCGTTGCATTTGATCAGTTAACCAAGTGCTAAGGTTTTTGACCCGCGCTTGTGGTTTGCACTCGATTAATTCGTTTTATGGCGATGCTTGAGTTACAGTTACTTAATGGCAGGGGGAGCGGAAGGGCCCACCCCCTTTGAAGATTGGGCCATTTGTCTTGTGTTTTGTGCTCGGCTTCATCAGCACTTTACATGCCCGAAAACCGCCCACTTTTTTTGTTTTTCTTCCAGGGCTTGGCACTCGCACACACATGTGCGTGCAAAAGATATATGTATTTGCACACTACATGGATTCATTCCTACCTCACCGCATTAAAAGTGGCGCCCTTTTTAGTGTCCTTTCTCCCGTTCTGCGCTCTTCTCCATGTTTGCTGAATTATTTGCTCCAGAAAAACAAGAGAGTGTGAGAGAGTAATCAGGGGGGCAACCTCTCCTCTCCCTGTTGCACCCGTTTTTGCTTAGCCTGTAAAGCTGTAAGCTGTAACTGTAAAGCGCTTAGCGAAAAGGGACAAAACCAGGACCTATGCAAACACTCCCCGCCTCTCCCGCTCATGCGCGCGCTCTTCCTCTCCGTACAGTTGGCTCCCCACCTCTATCATTCTCTAACTCTCTCTCATCCATCTTTAATTCGCAGCTCGGTTTTTGTTACACACACGCACACACTTACGCGTTGTCTTTAATCGATTTGTACTTCTTGATATTTACAACACCCCCATCACCACCCCACTCTCTTCGCTCTCCCCTCTATATTTGAGCTCTCTCTCCTGCTTGCATACTCTGATTGGATATCTAAATCCTGGATCCTGCCCCTCCCTTAGTTTACCAGCCTCAAAATCCCAGCTCCACTCCCTTTTTTCAAGTCCCTTGTCATTCGTTTTGCTGCCTTTTGCCATTTACAATTTATATAAAGTTATTTCATTGTGCTCACTCTGCTTCTTCTTCGGTTGCTGATGAAGACATAGCGAAATGGGTGTGTGTGTGTGTTGGTGTGGGTCCTGCGGTTCGCTAATGGGCAATTTATATCACTTTTAATGCCCGGCAGCAAAATCAATAAAGTGAAGAGCTGGCCAACATCTTTTTACATAAATTAGTCCTGGGTGATGATTGTTTGCTCAGTGTGAATGTTTTAGGGCTCAACTGTACTTGCATAATGTTCGCACACATATGCAGATGACATTTGCATTGTTAAAGGGTTAATGGACGCACGTTGCGCTGCAATTTTGTCCTTCAGCAGCAGATTCCAAATAAAGCGTCATGCACATATCACCCCCCACCCTGAGTTAACCTTGTCCGATCATTGGATAGGGCAACAAGGATGTCCTGTTCAAAGGACAATTTGGCATTTTGGTAAAAAAAACGCCATAAGGCGTGCAAAATTTCTCTTAAAAGTCAATGGTTTAGCCGCATTTTAAGCATGGAAGCTAACAAAAATACATATCAATTTACTCTAGCAAAAGGTCCTCTATGTCTGGTCGCTTATTGTACTCAATATACATTTTAGCGTCAAAGTTTTATAAATTGGTCATTAAATAACTACATAGTAGATAGCTTTTAAACAAAATGTTAAACTGGGGGCTTACTTAACTTTAGCTTGCTGCAGTTCGTTAACTCGTTTTGTTGATTTATTCGTATTTCATATTTAATTTTTAAAATGAAAGTACAACCGCAATATATTACATATATGAAACAGCTTTTATCAACTTTGATGGGAAACCCAAAAGTTGGTTATGATTATTTAAACAAAGTTAATAACTCAGCTCATTTCATACATAATTAAATTATCCTATTATTAGTTCACACCATCCGAACCCCTATTATCTTAATCAAACAGATTTGATTTCTATAAATTTCGTCCACTTCCAGGTGAACGATAGCAATTGGCTGTGCGCCAATTACACACCCACTCGGATCAACTGATACAGTAGCAACACACCACCCCCACAGGAGCAGGCAGAGCAGCAATTTCATGGTAATTGTCCCCCGTCAGCGTCGAATAAAAAAGACCAAGAAAAAAACCTGAGCAGCCAGAGATTAAGTGACACCACCTCTCCACCTTCCACTTGCATTTTTGTTTGTTGTAGCCACGCTCAGCGAAAGCAGTCGACAGCAGCAACAACAGCAGCAATATGTAGGCGCTCCACAGCAGCAACACATGAAATACAAGCAAGAACAGCAGCAACAACAACCCCCAACAACTATAAATCCATAACTCCCCAAAAAAAAAAAAGTACACAACAATAACAACATCATCGTTAAGATTTATCGAAATCAGGGAACGAGAAGAAACGCCACAACGATCGCCTGGATCTGGACACAAGAATGCAGCACGTGAGCGCTGCCAGCTCGGTGCCATCGGTAGTAGCCCCTGTAGTGACCACTGGTGGGACGACTATCACCTTGGGCGGCCCACCGCCCCTCCCCAAATCGGAGCACAAGGAGGATGGCAAGCCGCCGCACGGCATCGAAATGTATAAGGTGAACATCGAGGACATCTCGCAGCTCTTCACCTACCACGAGGTCTTTGGCAAGATCCACGGCGATGTGGTCAATCATCAGTTGGCGGCGGCCCACGGCGGCCAGCTGCCACCACCTCCGCCGCTGCCGCCGCAGGTCACCAGTCATGCGGCAAGTGCGGCGGCAGCCGCAGCAGCGGCTTCAACAAACAATGCGGCCGTGGCGGCGGTAATGGCCTCGGCGAATGCGGCAGCGGCCGCGGCGGCGGCCGCATCATCGGCGGGAGGACTGCCGCCGGCCACCAGTGGCAACGGGGGCCAACCGGTGACGGTGACGACGACGAGCAGCTCGACCAGCAGCGGCGGCGGGAGCACCACCAGTGGGGGCACCACGACCACGGCGGGTGAGTTGCTTATGCCTAAAATGGAGGGAGGCATTCATGGCGTGGACGGCAGCGGCAATGGCAATGGCGGGCAGAACGTGGCGCTAGCGCCGGACGGTACGCCGATTGCGACGGGGACGCACGTCTGCGATATCTGCGGCAAGATGTTCCAGTTCCGGTACCAGCTGATCGTGCACCGGCGCTACCACAGCGAACGGAAGCCGTTCATGTGCCAGGTGTGCGGCCAGGGGTTCACCACGTCGCAGGATTTGACGCGCCACGGCAAGATCCACATTGGCGGGCCGATGTTCACCTGCATCGTGTGCTTCAATGTGTTTGCGAACAACACGAGCCTGGAGCGGCACATGAAACGGCACTCGACGGACAAACCGTTCGCCTGCACCATTTGCCAAAAGACCTTTGCCCGCAAAGAGCATCTGGACAATCACTTTCGCTCGCACACGGGCGAAACGCCCTTCCGTTGCCAGTACTGCGCCAAGACGTTCACGCGCAAGGAGCACATGGTCAACCATGTGCGCAAACACACGGGTGAGACGCCACATCGTTGCGATATTTGTAAGAAGTCCTTTACGCGCAAGGAACACTATGTTAACCACTACATGTGGCACACTGGTGAGTGTGATTGATTGGTGGGGGCGGACAATGCGAGCGGCGAGCGCCAAAAAACAAAAAGACAGATCAGAATCTCTCAGAAACAAAAAAAAAATAAAAAAATTATAATAATTATCAAAATAACTCCAAGACCAACTCCAGTCAGACCAAATTATATCCATAGAGTACAAGAACAACAACAGCCATCACCACATCACACCAACCAACCAAACCAACCAAGAACCAAATCAAAAATTCAACCAACCAACCAAACCAATCAAAAAAGAATTGACAACAAGCACCGCAAAAAATTATATAACTTCATCGTGCGTCCTACGTCTTCTTCCTACCACTCTCACTCTCTCTCTCACACACTCTTCTATCTTGCTCATCGCTTGTGCTTCTTCCACCCGCCAACTCCCACAGTCCCGCCCACTGTACTCACACAGAGAGAAAAAATGTAACCCCGAAATGGTCATTAGTTTGGTTCCTTTCCTGGCCAAAATATCTCATTTATCTGACAACTCAAGATCATATTTCGAATATAACAATCACTAAAATACTGATACTTTTCAAAATCAATACCATACAATTTCCAAGCAGGAACAATTTTGATCTTAAGATATTTTTATTACCTCTCAGTCAAAAAAATTAAATAGGATACTCTTACCAAAATATTCATTGCACAGTTTTCCCAGAGTTTTCAGAAAGGTTCTTACACAAATGAGATAAAACTGAAATTGTTCTGATTATTTTTTCTCTGTGTCAACTAACGCTTAAGCGAGCAAATCTCCAGAGTTTTGGGGAACGCTCCGCGCCTAATCCCGCTTAAAAATCAAAAAAGAAAACACGCTCACTCGCTCATACCGCTCCATTTCCCCCCAACCATGATCTCTGCATCACACATCCCCAGCTTCACCAAGTCTAAATCATGCTCACATGCACCACCAATCCAAACACTTCATCCAGTGCTCGCTCCACTCCACCACTCCATGACCAAGTCCAAGTCCAAGTCCAATCCTTCACTCCCGATTCGATTCGATATATGAAATGCCTGTGTAACTTTGTCTACGCTCTCTCTGCTGTCGAACAGGGTGCCAAAAGCAAAAGTAAAGAAAAATGTCAAGAAAGTAATGAAAAGTTCGTTGTTGCTGCTTGTCGATTGCCAACGTCTCTGTGTAACTGCGACATTTAACACTCGAATCACACGAAAGCAATTGGAACAACATACACAACACCAGAACACCAGACAGACACACAATCAAACACACAACAAATCCCGCTCACCTGCATAACTATCTGCTATGTAGGGATCCATGCCATCCAAGCCTTTAGCTCTTTGGCGACAACTTTCTTCCGGGACTGCACGTTCCACGCAAAAACTATGAAGCATCCTGAAGACCAGCACTGAGTAGGAGCAAGGCAGAGTTGACAGGCACACACAAAACACACACACACACACATCCAATGAACATCCACACCACATACAATCCACACCACATCTGACACCACCACCACGCCCACGTCCATATGCCCGAGCCAGCAGCCTCCGTTCGCTTCGTTCGTTCGAAACCACAACAACGCAAGCCACGGCCAGTTTCACACCAAACAGAAAAGAAAAAAATAAGAAAAGAAAGAAAAGAATTGAATTGAATACGAAACCCACCCACCCACGCAGCCACCCAACCACCACCACAATGCAAAAAAAAAAAAAAAGAGTTTTAAAATACTGGACGGTGCGCGCGGGGATGGGCTGGGGGATCTGAAATTTTGTTTTTTCTCCGATCTGCCACTACTCCTCCACAAAAGGACGATGACTCCTTGTCGTTGATCCTTTTGGAGGAATAGCCATGAGAGAAAAAAGAAAATGCTTGCGCTAACGAATGCGATTTTGTCTTGTCGAACGAGATCAAACGCCATTCCCTATATACAACGATTCCGTTCTGTTCTGCTACCCTCTCCCAAAAATCCAGGTCAAACGCCGCACCAGTGCGATGTCTGTGGCAAGAAATACACGCGCAAGGAGCACCTAGCCAACCATATGCGCTCCCACACCAACGAGACGCCGTTCCGTTGTGAGATCTGCGGCAAGAGCTTTAGTCGCAAGGAGCACTTCACCAACCACATCCTCTGGCACACAGGTAAAGAGACAAAACGAATCGTAAGCCCGATCCCAGAACCCAGATCCAGATCCAGATCGATCCTGACACCCCCACGCCGCTAATGATTCCTTCAGCTACAGTCCACATGAACACACGAAATACCTAGCAAATATATACCTACACAGACACTTGGCGGCGCAATTGGTGCCAGAGCAGCGATAACGAACTCTCGCTAGGATTGGGGTGCAAATTCTAGTTGCGATCCATTGTGTCCCGCGTGGATCAACGTGGCATTTAATTTCATTCTTATCACAATTCCAGCAAACTATTGATGAGCTCAGTTTAAAATTATATCAACTATATTGGATCCAGCTCTACAAGAATCAGTTAATTCGACTGTTATCCGATTGTAACATCAATTGACTCAGGGTAACATTTTTGCAGTTCAATTTCTCATCTCATGACAATGTCATGCCATGACAATGCACTTTTTATAGCTCATTTAAGGTTCGCTGCCTTACAACCACAGTTCAGGTTTTGATATAATCAAACCTTTTAAAATGGTTAAATGTAATATAACAATTGGAAAAGGGTGTAGCTTATGTTTTATGTATCCAAAGTCTTCCTCATGTTAGAATAGAAATTTGTTCGATTTATGTTAATACTGATTCAAAAGAGAGTTCGGACATTATATTTCATTATGTCGAGCAGGCAGCTCAGCACCTGTTAGTTATCCTGTATTGAATGGCAAATAGGAAATGGATATCTCCGAATGCATTAGATTTCAAACTAATGTATGCAACTCACAGCGATATTCGAAAAGCAAATACCAAGCCACGCCAGGTGTCCAGTGACCCGCATCCAGCTAGCCCATACCATGACCGCCCCCCTGTTCCACGGCGATGATTACTAATCTCTAAACGTTTTCTCGTCCCATCCGCGCGACACACACACATTTGCCACGCAAGCAGGCGAGACGCCGCACCGGTGCGACTTCTGCTCCAAGACGTTTACGCGCAAGGAACACTTGCTAAACCACGTGCGCCAGCACACGGGAGAGTCGCCGCACCGCTGCTCCTACTGCATGAAGACGTTCACGCGCAAGGAGCACCTGGTCAACCACATACGCCAGCACACGGGTGAGACACCGTTCAAGTGCACGTACTGCACGAAAGCGTTCACGCGCAAAGATCACATGGTTAATCATGTACGGCAACATACAGGCGAGTCGCCGCACAAGTGCACGTACTGCACTAAGACGTTCACGCGCAAGGAGCACCTGACGAACCATGTGCGCCAGCACACGGGCGACTCCCCGCACCGCTGCTCCTACTGCAAGAAGACGTTCACGCGCAAGGAGCACCTGACGAACCATGTGCGCCTGCACACGGGCGACTCGCCGCACAAGTGCGAGTACTGCCAGAAGACGTTCACGCGGAAGGAGCACCTCAACAACCACATGCGCCAGCACTCGAGCGACAATCCGCACTGCTGCAACGTCTGCAATAAGCCGTTCACGCGCAAGGAGCACCTGATCAACCATATGTCGCGCTGCCACACCGGCGACCGGCCCTTCACCTGCGAGACGTGCGGCAAGTCCTTTCCGCTCAAGGGCAACCTGCTCTTCCACCAGCGCAGCCACACCAAGGGCCAGGAGATGGAGCGGCCCTTCGCCTGCGAGAAGTGCCCCAAGAACTTCATCTGCAAAGGTGAGTGAGCGCTCGATGATCGCTGCTGTACGTTGCATGCATCCAGTGGAGGCACGCGTGGCGTGGCGTCAGCATAGTGTCCCAGCCCCAGCTCCAGCTGCAAAGACCCAGAACCCGATCCCGAGCCGAGCCCCCCACCTTAATATCCCGATAACTTCCTGCCCTCCAGTTGCTGTTGTTGGGGATTGCTCTTACAGCTTCCAACCGTCCTTTTGGGGGGTCACGTCTAGTCAGGGGCTTTCATTTAAATTTAAATTGTATGTGCTTCAGCTGGCACTTTTAAAGAAGGAATCAAGCGTTTCTTTTATATTTATGTTATTATTTGTTTAATTACTTGATTGATTAGTAAAACTAAAATCTCGAATATGAAATTAAAAAAAGCAATTCGGTATAATATACAATCACGACTACAATTTGAGTCTTTTCGCATAATGTAATGTAAATGAAGTATCCTTTGTTAACTAAACCTGACTAGACGTTACCCCCAAAAGCTAGTTTAAGTGCAAACAGCGACTGTGAGAGCGAGCCCCAAAAACTTACCCGAGCCGTTTTCGAAATTCGACATCCCCGACGATCAGATCTTCATGTCGCTTCCATTGTCCGTTTCGCAGGTCACTTGGTCTCGCACATGCGCTCCCATTCGGGCGAGAAACCTCACGCGTGCACTCTGTGCAGCAAGGCGTTCGTCGAGCGCGGCAATTTGAAGCGCCACATGAAGATGAATCACCCGGATGCTATGATGCCGCCACCACCCGTGCATCCGCATCCGCAAATACCAGCTGGTGTGCTGACGCAAGTCAAGCAGGAAGTGAAACCGATCATAAGTGAGTCGGCAAACACGACTGCGCTAGCGCAAGCGAGTCTCCCCGTGCCCGAATCGACCAACTTATCCGGCCCTCCTACCGTTTCAGTTCCCCACCACTCGGCGACCACCACGATGCACACCATCCAGCAGATCACGGCGGGCGCGGCGGGTGGAGCCGGAGCAGTGCAGCTAACGCCGGGTCTGGTGCCCTTGGTCACCTCCACGCTCATCTCGCATAACGCGGCTGCGCAGCAGCAGTCGCAGAAGCAGCAGGCGGCTGCGCAGCAACAGGCCGCCGCAGCCGCTGCCGCCCAGCAACAGGCGGCCCAGCAGCAGGCAGCGGTGGCTGCCCATCAGCAGCACCAGCAACAGGTGGCCGCCCAGCATCAGCAGCAGGCGGCAGTGGCCGCCCACCAGCAGCAGCAGCAGTTGCAGCAGCAGCAACAGCAACTGCTGCAGCTGTCCATCCAGCAGGCGGCGCATCACCACCAGCAGGAGCAGCACCGCCAGCAGCAGCAGCAGCAACACCAGCAGCAGCAACAACAGCAGCAGCATCACCAGCAGCAACAGCAGGGCCATCCGCAGGCCCCGCCGCCGCAGCAGCAGCAACAACCGCCGCCCATCGCCCTGATCAGCGATCCGAGTGCCCTGGCACGCGCCGCCATCCAGCTGCAGCACTTGCCTGCGAACGTGGAGCAGCACCCGGTTGTTTACTAACAGTAGCCCCTCCTGCACGGCTACACTCCCACCACAGCGCACTCCAGCAGCACGACCAGCACCTCCATAGCCGCCACGGCAGCCGCGGCGTCGACGCAGGCGGCGTGGTGAGGCCGGTGTGCCACCAGTGAGCCAGTGAGCTAGTAGTGAGCCGAGCTGACGCGACATCTCTATGTAGGACACAAACACCATAACAAGCACACCCCATATAAGCAGCTAGTTGTATGTACAATAGTTTTAGCAGCGCGCTGGTTACGCTGATCTGTGACCCCGAAGAATAACGTAGTATGCAGGGGTTCTGGGGTGTGTCGATTTAAAAAAGATTTGTTTTAGGCATTTTCAATATTGAGTAGCTTTTGAATATCACTTTCATAGTTCCTGGCTGCCGTAAAAATTCCCTTAAATTCAAAAAACAGAAGATTAAGTGATTGTATTAGAATTTATCCAATATACACTTAATGCTATCCGATTTTGAATTTACTGGAGATTTCTGTGGCACGCCTTAACTTTCGCAATATTTTTTAACTAGACCTATGCTTTTCTCTTACAACTTGTAGTCTTCTTTGTTCCCCTAAAAATCGGAGCACCCCAGAAAGTCAATTACAGAATGTGTTCTGTATTCCCAGATGCAATACCGGCTCGCCTTTGAGCCATCTTCCTCACTTCCCAATCGCACCATGCAAACCAACACTCTTTTACTAGTCTGCCGCCGCCAGCTTTAACGTGCAATACGAATCATCTCATAGTTTGTTCTCGGTATCTCTCTTTGTGTATCTTTAATGCTTAGGCGCTTAGCGTCTAATTTCACGTGTTTTCTACATTTCTGAAATGTGTGCCAGGCGGCGCGTGATTTTGGTTGGGTCGATCGATAGGATTCTGTGGTGTCTGGTTGCCACTAAGCTGTGCTTAGTGATTCAATCGGTTCCAGGGACTACTCGACCCACCCACTCTTCTCGATAGACACTTCAAAGAAGGGGATTTTCTAGCCGTAACCAGCTAAAGCGCATCATCTTGTATTTTTATTGTGTTTCGACTAAGTTATGATTATGCATACGGAGCGACATTCATAGAAAGCATCCTCATCTTACATAAACATATGCAGATATGCATAGGCATACGATTATAATATATATTTTATAGTTTGTAAATAACACGCAACAATACCCTTGGAAATCTATCGAAAATTATTATCACAATTGTATTATTTTTGCATTTTCCAAGGAGGATCATTGAAAACGAGCGATTGGTCGGTCGCGTAGACTTTCACATATATTGGCCAAGTGTAGTCCTTAACCCAGTTTACAGTGTCAAGTCCCGAAAGTGGGACTGTGATGATATGATTATGAGATATAAATTATTATAAAAGAAGCAGCATAACAGCAGCCACAACTAACGAGATAACGAAAAGGGATTAAACAACAACAAATTATTATATTTAATGTTAGTTGAACTACTAAAAGTAATAATTGAGAACACGGATGGCAAACCGGAGAAAAGCGGAGCCGCAAATCGGCAATCGAGTAGTTTTTAGTTGGGCGCGTCGCCCAATCATTATGATTACAATTACAATTACGATTATGATATATAAATACTAAACCTATAACAACAAGTTATTACCCCACTATTAAAGTTAACAGCAAACAACAACAACAACCCATACATATATATATATACGACTAGGCACAACTCTAAAATTAATTATAACCCTTAAACTGTGCTTATGTTGAAAACAACAAACATTAAGAACATAAAAGCCGTAACGAAGTAAAAGAAAGTGAAACAATTAACGAGAACGCCCCAAGCGCCACAAGCAACAACATATCTGCTTTAAATTTTACAACAAAAAAATAAAAAGGAAAATCTAAAAAAATATCAACATATTAAACACGAGTCATTGTTTAATAATTTAATGAGGAATCACAAACAGACACATACTGACAGACACACAACCACACATTATGCTTCCTTTTAAATGCAACATTTTACACATTTAATTATCAACAATTAAATGCCTAAACCCAATTTAAATTTAATTTAACAAACTGTAACTGTACACGAATAAACGGAAAATGTAAAACTGTTTGTTTGACCATTTAAAGACACGACTTGGTTTTATTTAACCCCAGCTAATTTATTCACGTTTATTGGCAGCAAAGTGAAGTTTTAAATACACTAAGAATGCAGGGAACAATTGAAAATTGTAAAAAAAAAAAGAAATCATCATTAAAACATTCAACATTTGCAAGTATTTTAACACACTGAAAAATCTTAATTTGGAAGTCGCAAACACTCATTCGTCTATAATTATGTAGTTGATTATCCGTGTTAGTTTTCGGTGTTTTTGGATTTTTGGTGATGTGTATAGAGCGCAGTATATAAAAGGAATGTAGAGATATATATTATTGTACGATTATTAACTAATATATAACGGATATGTATGTGTAGAATGCGAAGGCAATTTTAAGTACGACCCCAAGGAGGAAATTCACTTGTGTTGCAATATTTAAACAAACGAAATAGTTTATTTGTAAGTTGCGTAGTGCATAACGTGAGAATAGATTAATATTCTCCAAGCCACATTAACTGACAGACAAACTCACCCATTAACCTTAAAAACAAACAATACGCTGGGACAGCGCTGAAAATGTTTCCTAAACGCAGCGAAAATCGAGGAGTAGTTAACAGAAGAAGCTGAAGATAACGCTTGGAACGCCCCAATTAACGTAAATATTAAAAGCAACAAACAGTAACAATACTAAATAGAAACAATAATGTACTATAAATCAGATACAATACAACACTATATATACCTAAAATATATGCCTATACAACAAATTGGACAAGAAATGAAATGCATATAAATATATATATATATATATTATATATAGTATATATTGTACAAGTTACGAGTAAAATGTAATTAAATTGATGAAGTAGTAAGCACTAAACAAAACAAATAAATGAGCAGCAAAAACGCGCAGCATAAGCATAAAAACGGATTTTATACCACGGGTTTCAAAACTATTTATCAGCGAACATTCGGACTAAAATCGAACAATTTCATCATTTTATTTCCAATCTTTATTTTTAAAAGTTTAAAGATCCCTTGGATCCTCAATTTATGACCTTGACAGCCGTCGTATTTTATTCTGTTTTATGATTTCATTCTTTAAAGTGAAAAAAATTTGGATAAAGTTTTATATATTTTTCAATATTCCCTGAATTGGTAATAAAAACATTACCACAACTATTTTCAGAGGTGCAAGTTGTGATTTCTCCTCACCTGGTTTTATTGTTTTTAATTCCAGTTACTCGATTTAAAATTGGTGCAGATCGTTAAAATAAATGATGGTAAATGCGTAAGATTTTTTTTTTTAATTCCGGCGGATCAACTTATGTAAACATTATTCTGAAAACATTTCTCCTCTGCCGTCCACTTGTTGAATAATATCGCACCGATCCTTGCTAGTTCGTAAACTATCGCATCCGTTACCCATCTCTAGAAGGACAAGGAATTTAGGTAGCGCGAATTCCGCCCGCTTTGCCTGGAAAACCACCCCTAAATGACCTTCGCACTAGGTAGCCCTCAGCTGGCCGTTGCGACGGCACAGAATGGTTAGTATTCCAAACACCACGATCGAAAACACAACTCACAGATGACGTCGTCCGCAACAGATACAGGTATTGAATTTGCACACACCAAACAACAACCTTGAACGCATTAAGAATCGACTGTCCTTCCCCTTTTCAGCACCCACTGCCGCTTCCTTGCTGCAACTCAATGATGATGTCCTGGCTTTGATCGTCCGCCAGCTGAATGTTTACCAGCAGTTCGAGATCGGCAGGTTGAATAGGCGCTTGGAGAGCATTGTGCAGATGCTTTGGAGGACCCGAAGTCGCAGCGTTGTCCTGCAGGACGAGATGTTCCGACGATCGGGCACCAATTCCCGGCAGTTTCTGGCCTTCATCCTGGCCCTGGCTCCCCACATGGAACGCCTGAGTTGCCAGCACTTGGATGTCCGGAGATTGCGACTCCTGAGCAGTCACACCTTGAAAGGAATCCACTCCTTGGAGTGGCTGGGCGATGGAAATCGCCGCGGACGCGTTCGCTTCGTGGACGAGGATGTTCGACTGCTTCGGCGGGTATTCCCGAATTTAAGGAGGCTTAAACTGAGGGGCTGCCAAATCACTGGGAAATATCTGTGCGACCTGGAGCAACTCACCGAACTCTGCCTGGATGACTGCCAGTTCCTGGAATCCCAGCACTTCAGGGATCTCTTCCGCCTGTTGAAACTACGTAAATTTGATATAATGGAGGATTGTGATGAGGTGAACTGCTGTGATCTCGCCGATCTGCAGTTGTGCCCTACTCTGGAGCACATTAAAATAGCCGATTACCATTTGTGCATGGAATCGGACATAACACAGCAACTCCTTCAATTGCCACGCCTGCAGAAACTGTCGATTTATTCCAAGAACTTTGTTTTCGATGTTCTGTCCCGTATAGCTCGTCCAAGCAATCCTCCCGGAGCAGCCAGACTTATAGAGGCATTTCGCTTCAGTGGGATCCTCCATGATTATGGAAGATTTTTCAGAGAGCTTGCGAATCTCAGACAGCTCACGCGTCTGGAGCTGCATGGCCAGGCGGAGGAGGACGAGGGTGGTGAGTTGCAATGCTTGGAGGATCAGATTCTGCGACAACTGGCCCATCAACTTCGCGAGCTAACCGAACTCCATCTGTGTGGTTATCAGTTGGAAAGTCCTTTGGGCCTACTGGAATTCGTGATCAATTGCCGCCAGCTGAAGGTCCTGGATATCACCCGATCTCGGTGCCACGGAGAGTCCTTCATCTGGAGCTGCATTGCGGTTTTGTCGAAACAAAGATGGCGCAGTCAGCCCTTGGAGGTGTGGATCCGGGATAGCGATATTAATCCGGAAATAGTTCAAAGTTCGCGCTGCCTAGATAACGTTAAGCTCATAAAGATAGATGCGAGGCAGATCGGACCCAATATGGACTATACATCCGGTGTACTGAAGTTCAGTTTTGTGCGGTGATCGATACCTTTGTACAGTGTATCTCATTTACTGCTCAGATTCATTTCAAAAAGTTTTAAACTTAAATCTAGCTAAGCAAATTTCCATTTATAAACTGCGATCTAAATAAATCTATCTAATAAAAATAACACTTTGTTTACTCTGGGTATCTTTTTGCCATTGAATGTTAATTTTTGACTGATTTTAACCAAGCTAAGATTGATATTATCCTTAGTTTTTTTCTTTTAAATTATCAGAAATAGCAGTATTCCAGTAAGCCCTGCTTTTATATATTACATATTTACAGTTTGTTAGATTTATATATCGGGGAGATTGAGAACGTGGAATCTTTTGAGTCTTCTTATTGTTAAACTGTTGTCTACTTGTTATATGAGCATTTTTCTATTTGTTCACAATTATTTTCTATGTATTTTGAAAAAATTATCAAAAGAGTAAACCACGATTGTTACGCATGTACATAGGTGATAATTATTCGATAACGCTTTAGATTATTTCGATGATAATAAGACTTTTTAAAAAGTCACTCCCTGGTTGGTCCTGATTAAGGTCATTTATCGGGATGACAACAAATTACTGAAATAAGTATTTTCTTTGCTAAGGGATAATAATGCTGCAGAATGTTTTTATCTGAGATTTTTGAATTGAGATTCAAAGATGAAAATTCAAAATAAAATTCAAGAAGAGATATCTGTAGCACACTGGCTAGGAAATCTTTGCTCCCCCCGTCAATCCAAATGAAATTTGAGTTCAGAAAAAAGCATCGCCAACAAGCCAAACCTGAGATCAATGACCCCGGCGATGACCAAATGCGCCAGCCCTTCCGCCGAGCCTCCGTGTACGTGAACCTGCTGCTGATTACCGAGGCTGTGATCGGACTGCTGCTCCTGTTGGTGACCGCCTACTACCACGCGCTGTTCACCGGCTATCTGTCGGAGATCGAGTGCCGCCTGGTTAGCGGCTACCTGTTCGGGATCTACGTGTTCGGGGCCCAGCTGGTGGTGACCTTCCTCTGCAGCGTGTCCATGTGGCGGCGCCTCTGGCGGCGGCGTTGCACGCCCAACATCCGCCTCCTGCTGGCCGTGTGGCTCTTCTACTCCTGCGTGATCATCGCCTCCGGGTTCGGGTGCGTTTGGAACCTGTACCGGGGCGTCGAGGTGCTGGAGAGCGCGGCGGAGACCTCGCTGACTCGGGGCATAGATATGTACTACTCGTGTCCGGAGTGGAAGCTCCTGTGGGACGGACTGCAGTGGCGCAAGGAGTGTTGCGGCGTGCACGGCTACAAGGACTGGATGAGTGCGGAGTGGATGCCGCGAATGGAGGATAACTGCTCGTCGACGGTCCTGGCACCCTATGCCTGCTGCAAGCGATCCTGCGAGACCTGTTTCAACAACTTCCAGCCCGGCGAGGGTCAGTCCCTCGGAGCCAGCAGTCGGCAGCCCTTTCCCGCCCTCACAGCGGGCTCCATCAACACGAATGGTTGTCTGCCGGCGTTCACCAGCGCGGTGTGGAACTTCTTCTACTTTCTGCTGGCACTGTGGGTCCTGGCCCTGAAGTTCCTCGTAAGTAATTTCTGGTTGTAGTAAGTGATTGTATGAAGTTTTCCTGACAAAGTAACATATTAACGTTTTTTTTTCTGTTTTACTTCGAATATGTTATGTAAGACCCTAAAAAAGCGACTATAACAGGCAACACATTAACAAATACTGCGGCTTAAAATATAACTATATCCCATCTTCCATTAATCTATTAAGTTAATAACATTAAATGTTATAGTTTCGTAATTGTAATTGTTATTTGATAAAATAATTGAAGTTGTTATCCTGTTTGCCCAACTTTCTTCCAACTCAGCTTGCATTAATTGAAAATATAAAGTATGTTTTTCTAGATCGTGCTCTGTTGTATGACCAAGTTTATACTTCACCGGCAGAATGAAGGAGATGGCTGCGATTATGTGGGACTCACAGATGAGGATGGACATCCGCTAGTCGTAGTGGTGCGTTAAAAATTCTAGTTTTTAACCGATTCTAAGTAATTTATAAATCCAACAGAAATATCCATGTAATGTGCGCTGCGTGACAATTGGTGAGGACGATATGGTCTCTGATGTCGCTCCCGATGTCAACTACTGCGATTGCCCAGAATTGGAAAACGATGAATGTGGTTACTAAGCTGTTTGTTTTGCCATTTAATTTATATTTTATATTATTTTAAAAATGTATTTCGAATTCCCTCTTTATTGGTCTATTTAAAAAATCTTAGTTTTATTTTTCTTTATTTGTTAATCGGTTGGGATTAAGGGCTTAGTTAAATTAGCTTTGAGATCATAAACGCATTTTATTGTAAGTTAAGCAATGGCTGTCCAAAATGGAGAACATATGCAATCTTAACAGGAAGTATTTTTTCATCGTTTGGTTATTCTAGATTCTTCCAATGCTTGGTCTACCAGGCGATCAATGCGCTTCTGCAGAGCTTTAAAGGGCTTCAGGCCAACTCCTTCCTCAACAAGTTCCACAGAAAGCTCGTGAAAGTAGCCGGTAATATCCACAGGTTTGGCCAGCGCAGCCGGATTGTTCCTAATACGTTTTGAAACTCGTTCTCCAATAGATTCCTGAGGGTTAGAAATGTCCGGAGAAGTTAAGACTTGTGGGGCGGATTGAAAAAGGCGAATTGTCCGATTAGATTTTTCAGTATCGTAAGATCTCTTCCGCTGCGAAAATACTGTTCTAATCTTCTGAGTATCGGTCTTCGGAATATCGGTCTTCTGAATATCGGTCTTCTGAATATCGGTCTTCTGAATATCCGTCTTCTGAATATCCGGCTTCTGAATATCCGTCGAACTGTGGGCACGTTTTCTGTCGAAAAAGCACAATTATAAGAAAGTTCCTTAGGACTGCTAGGACTTTTCCTACGGTGTTCCTGCTATATAAGTAACATTCATGGACCAATCCGCACCATTCAGATCGGTTCTGCAGGGGCAAAAATATAATAAGAAAAAACAACTCTTACATAAGTGAAGTACTTACTCATCCTCGTTTGAAATTTCTTCATCCTGATCACTGGTCCTATTTATATAGCATATCCATGTAACATAAAAAAAGGGAATACATAATCAACTTACACATAAGATCCGTTTGAGTTTTCATCAACTTCCGAGACACCGATCCTTTAATTCGATAATTGCAGAAACAAAAAGTAAAAATAATATACATAAATTAGACTTACACAGCTTCTTGGGCGTCATCATCATCGCCTACAATGTGCGGAACCTTAGAAAGAGACCTGCAATAAAGGATCGCGTTATAACGGGCAACCTAATTCGGATTTTTATTTTCCATTACATTTTTAAAATGTAGCTTTAAATTACTTGAATGACTTGACAAATAAAGAGGTGAAATGTTTTGAAAAGTGTGTACACACTTTTGGTAGTGCCAACTCATACCCCATCCTTCAAAATGGCTTTGTAAGACAGATAAATCCAGGTAAGATAATAGTAATTTTATTTTGTGTTACTGCTTTCTACAGTTGTTAAATAAAACTTAAAATGGTTTTTATCTGGTTACAAGAAAACGTTTCGTTAAGTTTTACTTTGTATTTATTTCTATTTTTCGATTTTAAGCGGATACAAGTAATATAAAAAATAAGCAATATTTTTAGTGCTTCTCTTTGTCATTGCTTTCTAATATATTTTTGGATTCAGAAAATAGCAAAACCAAAAAATTTAATCAAGAAAGCAAAGAAATTCTTGGTACTGACTATTGCTTGCCAAAAACGCTAAAAAAAATGTAGGGAATATCCTTAATACAATTATTAGATAGGGTAAGCACTGTTCAATTAGGAAACTTAGCTGTTCTTCTCAACTTTTAAAAATCGGTTAGCCAAACTACTAAAGTAGTCAGGTTATAAATAATTAATACCGGAGGCTTTATTGGTTCATTATTCATTTATTAAATTTAGTTTGACATTGAGCTTTTTAGCTAAAGTTGTACTTTAAGATTTTGGCACATTAATTTGGTTGGAAATAATCTCTTTTTGAGGCATACATATAATTAAAATAGATAGGAAAACATATTTGACATCAAGTTAACACAAACTTTGGCTATATGAATGCATTTTTTTTATTTAGGTTCTAATTGAGTTCACTTGAGACCTACAAGATACTGAGAGAGACTTTCAGGCTTGGCTGTGTTCGTGCTATTCTGACAAATCGGAGACGGCAACGCTGCTGGTGCTGATCAAATGGCGATCAGGCATTTCGCCAATGGAAAACAAGGAGCTGGACTCACTGGCGCTGGAAAAGGACACTTCATCCCAATTGACGCCGGAATCGCCATCGTTGCCCTGAGAAACGAGTGAGGCGTCGGGATTCTCATTATCCAGATCGTGATCCTGATCCTGAGGATTCTGGCCACTTTGGATTACTGCCGGTCTAGAACGTTTGCCATCCGATTCAATGATCTGGTTGTTAACCTCAGCACTGCGCTTTCGAGCAGGGATTCGCCTCTCGGCTGTGGGACTCCAGTCCATGGCATGATGGACCAAAGCCCGAATAGTCAAACGAACGGGCTCGCTGGGAGGACTGTCCAAGCCCTCGGAGTTCCTACTGAGCAACTGTGGCGACATGATCATCGTTGAGTTGTGCAAAGCACTCGGCTGCGAGGCCAAAAACTCCATCTCGCTCTCCTGTCGAAATCCACGGGGTTTTAGTGGGATAATTTATTGATAAAACACCTTTAATACAACCTGCAAAGCCCTTTCCAGTTCTGGATCATCCGTTTCGGTAATGGCCGACCTTTCTATGGTGTCAACTAGCTCGCGCATTTCTTCTACTTCCATGCCATTCTCATAAACGCCAGCGCCTGCGCGTGGTAAAGCTTTTAATATATGCAATGTGTAAGATCATTTTTTCAACTTGCTTCTTAGGAATTCCACTAATTTATTGTGAGTTCGGCTACGCAGTTCCATTTTCTACAAAATATGTAAAAACACGAGCTCTGATTTTTTTTTGTTTTCTTCGCTTTCGTTCTTGTTCTTTCTTCTAACGGAAATTTTTTCAGGTTGAAATCGACAAAAAAAAAGAGCCGTATCGATAGTTGTGGTTCCACACAATGCCCACACTTTGGGTTGCGAGAATATCGCATTTAATAGGGCTTTCACACTGTTTGAATTAAGGTCATAAATCTTCGCAAAATTTTTTCGAAAGTATTCGAGATATGTTTTTTCCATTTTACATTTTGGTTAGCTTTAAACTTACATACCTTTCTCATGATGACTTTACTGACTTGAATTTTATTATTTAGCGTATAGGGTGCTCTTTTTTCTGTTCCAAATTATAGTAATTGATTAATCAATATAGAACTATACGGTCCTAAGGCACTTTAAATTGTCAACTCAGTTTTGATATGATGTTAGTTTGTATAACTTTAACTTTTATTAAACTGGTATGGAAGTAACATATGTACTTTGGTATTAGGATATTACGGTGTTGAACCTTTTGCAATTGTTTTGTTTAAAATTTTTCTTGTAATTGTTTAACTAGACGAGGAAATTTTCATTGTTGATTCTAGATAGGATTACTGCACTGCATATGTAAGTTTTCTTTATTCGTTTTTAAAATGGATGTTAGAATTCCGAATAGAGTGCAAGTGGAGTTTAGCTTAAATTACGTTTAGGCCAATGTTTAAAAATTGTTTTTGCGAAACTATCTTAACATTTAAAATTATTTGCAATGTTATCGCTAATATCGCTGGAAATGTTTGTAAACAAAGTAAATTAAATACTTAAAAGCTTGATGTTTCCTAGGGCAGCTTTATGATATAGTCGTCCGATTCCGGCCGTCTTTGCATATATGTATGTACAATACTAGAAAGTTCCTGAGATATAGCTTTCAACTGGGGGGCTATTTTGCATAAAATCGAAATTTTAGTTTCAATTCAAAAACATTCGGACATGTCTAGATCGACACGGATGAGCATCACCATGAGAATTAAGAATTTGTACATACACAACTTTTGAGGTATTCTTATTGAAATAATAACACCCTCTGCAAGGGAATGCAAGTTGTCCTATTTTTTAAATTATTTATTTATTATTTAATTTTAATTTTTTTGATTTTTTAATTTCTGCACTCTAAGAAAATTAAAATAAACTGCAAAATAAAATCCATGTATTCTTTGGGCAACGGGCTTAAAAAACAATTTATCAGTAAAAAGCTGAGTCCAAACTGGGAACTTTTAACACCAGCTCTGCAAAGTTGAAATACAACGTGTAAAAAGTAAACGCTTTGCGAACTTTTTGAGTGGTCAACCTGCTGACCAAAGTTACAGCTTTTCCTGCCCACAACGCTGGCAATTGTTTTTCTAATTTAAGCAAAAAATGCGTCGCTCTGCATTTCGTTTGCATGGCCAGCCACCTGCGAGTTTTCTGGCCCCTTGACCCCGCCCCTTTCGCTTTTTACACACCTCCCACTGCTGCACCACCCAACCCACCCACTGCCCCCCTGTCCTTTCACCCCAACAACAACCGAGTTGAAATTCAACAAAATGTCAAAATGCCACTTGAAGTCAGTTTGCCTTTTTCGCTGCCATGCAACGCGTTTTCGACCCGAAAATTGTTCTTTATGTGGGACACTTCTCAGTTTGACTTTCTCCCCATGGTGAATTGTAATACCCTAAATATTTGCAGATCGAATTCATTCTAGAAAATCCAGAAAAAATAGCAGTCTGTAGTGGTTTTCTCATTGGGTCTTGTGCATTTTTAACTAAATTTACATACCAATTTTTAAGAGTTTATTTTATGTATAAAACATTGTAAGCATTTAAAGTGTCATTTTATCTTGTTAAACGCCTTTAAATTATTAAAAAATAACGCTTTAAAATCTTATGGCAATACAAGTTGCTCTTTAATAAAACTTAATTTAGAAGAAATTAATTAATATGAATATAACATTTAGATGTTATATGGGTGTTATTACCTTCGAATCGCTGTATCCAATAGTTTGTCTTATATATTTTGGGTTTAATCTTTTTTCTGACACATTTTGCCGTATGACCAAACTCTCTCGCTGGTTAAAACAAACTCCATCGCATAAAAGGACAAAAAGTAAAAGTTTTGATGTCGTCGCGTTGGCGAGCGCTGCTTCTTTTGCATAGGAGTCGCCATGGAGTCCCAACTGCATTTTGCTCCACATTCGCGGCACCGAACCACCTAAACCTCGGCTTCAGTGGCACATCAAACGCAAATAAATTAAAAAACGAGTAAAGCCTGCACCAAAGCCGTTTGTGTTAGCCCGCATTTTGTGCAATTTTTGGCTGGCATTTAAAGTCCGTTCAATTACGGCGACACAAGTTTGACAGGGGCAACAAAAATAAAAGAAATCGTAAGCTGCAAATATATGAAGCAATTTAAAATCTCTACACTTTTGGAAATTTACGCAAATCGTATGGGCGACGTTAACCCTTTAATGCCCTTTTTGGCAGGCAGTGAAGCAGCTAACTCTTATTGGATTAGCAAATATGCTCGCTCTGCTCTCGATTTGCTTTTAGTGGCTCCGTTTTATGTTTTCATCATGGGGGACTAAAGGATTTTCGCCATTAACTTCTGCTCGCCAGCTTTCCGGCACATTAGGCAGCCATTATTTGGCTAATTTTGCATCTTTCGGCCATATAATTTACACCAAATAACACACGACTGCACACACATACACACAAATACCTTTGTTACGGCCAGTGGTAAGTGCTGCGTGACGGCTGCTAAAATATTCGCGAAACACTCATACGCCATGTTGGCCATGGGACTGTTTCCGGGCCTCCGAGCCTCCTAATCAATGAATCGGAAATACCTTACACAACATTAATTTTACGCTTCGATCCTTTCCTCACCAGTCTTCAGGACGATTCTTTTGTTCGTTTTTCACGATTTACATTTAACCCGTGGCGAATCGCCCTCAGTTGAAAATTAAAAAATTGCGTGAATTTTGCTGATAAGAAAAATTTTTAAAATATGGGTTCTTCTCAGAACAAAAACAGAATAAAGTTGGTTTGCATTTTTTTTATTTTTTAACAAAACGGTCTGTCACTTTTCATCATTTCTTTTTGGAATTTTTTGGTACATCAACTAAGAAGCAAACTGTATTTTTCCATTTATTTTTCATTAAACGTATTTCAAAAGTTATAATAACTTTCTTCATTGAATTTATTACATTTCCCTACATCTTTTTCAACTTGAAGAATTATAAACTAAACAGTAAAAGAGATTTTATAATAATATTAATTCAAAAATACTATTTTTAAAGATAACCAAGTACTGTAAACCGTTTCGATCTGCTACTTCTGGGCAGATATTGGTCACACGCTTCATCCGAACTCTGGTATTTGCATTTGCATTTTCACAACATACGCTTCACAAATAAAATATGCAAGCAACAAATTCGTACCCAGACACAGTCAATAGCACAAATTTATTGGCAATTTTTGGGATTTAGTCTGCCGTCTGCTTCTGAACCTCCAGATCCTGCCTCTTTGAGCTCGAGCCTTGGGAAGAGTTTGATTGTGCGAAATTGCAAATCAAACATGACTAAGGGACCTTCTCGATTCCAGGGAGAATCTGGGCGTTCTGTTTACAAATGCCAAGAAGCGGAGTCCAAATGGTTCAAATATTTTACTGATAGTTGTGCGGGTGTTGCGTTTTCATGTTGCTGTTCCTTTTTTTTTTTGTTCAAACTGCACATCTGTTGCTAGCAGATCCCAAAGGGCTGAAGTTATAGTTTTTTGTATCAATAAATTTGATAATGTAATTGTGTATGAAATTCAAAATATTGATTTTATTGAGTGTGCCAATATGGAAACAATTATCGAACTGTGGACAACCTGTTAAGCTGAACATTAATTTTGATATATTTATGAGGACATAAATACTTATTGTAAACGACCAATGACTATCAACTAAAAGTCAAGTTTACTATAGGTAATAACGCACGTCTTTACCGCAAAACAAATAATCTTAAAGGAACTTTTATTGAACATCATAGTAGTTGCAGATGTAAAGTTAAAATCGGTTTACTCGTTAATAATAAATCTTAATATCCTTAGAATGATATTGTTACATTACATTTAAGACAGATAAAGATTGAGAAGTACAAATTATCTATTATCGTTATTATAAAGTTATTTTCAATAATCATTTTTGAAATAGATCAAATTAAGTATAATCAATGACGGTCAAGCTGCAATGATTTTCTAAAACGAGGACTGGACACAAATAACCAGGATATAGATGTTTTTTTTGGATGGGGGGAAGTGTGATACCACGACTATTTATTAAATATAACTTTTCCTAAAAAAGCGTGAGTAATTGTTTAAAACAACAAAGCAATTAAATATTGTTTGATCACCAAGAACATATATTTCTTTTTCAGTGACACGCTTTAAAACATTATATTTATTAAATGCCTAAATCCAATCGAATGTATACAATCCTTATTTAACCTAAGCTGTTAATGTTGTCCAAGTTCTTCAACTCGCCAACATGATTTCCCTCTCTGCCGATAGCCACTTGAGTTGTGTTGTATTTCGTTGGGGAGAAGATATGTTTGCAGACCAAATTGTAAGCTGCTTATGAACCGCAGATAAATTTGCATACTTAAGCTGTTGCCGTAAACAAGCTCACATGTGCATTTGCGTTGAGGTGCATTTCAGCTTGTGTTGTTTGGGTTCAAAGAACTGAGGCATTAAGCTTGAGCTTTTTCACGTTTTGACCATTACAGCTATTTGTTTACTAATTTTCCGACCTCTCCCACATTCGTAGATGCTTTTTCAGATACAAATACACCCGGGGCGCTGGAAAGTATGCTAGGGTTTAGTTTGGCTCTACCACAAATTTCGCGTGGTGTATGCTGAGATAAATGAGCGTGTTTTAGTTGCATTTCCTCTTCTATTTTCCCCAGAAAAATAAAATAAAATGAAATAAAATATATGCAAATAAACATAAATAACGTGAAAAGAAGGAAACCACAAGCAGACATAACTAACAGTGAAAAGTGAGT